GGGAGCAATATCGTGACCTCACAGAAAACCGACGTGAAACAACGCTTGCGTTGTGTGTGTGAGTGAGGTTACCGGAGGCCCAATTACCCCCCCCCCCCCCTCTGCCCAGTCTCTCCAATCCCCGAATTCCCCACAATCCTCAAATTCTCAATTCCCAAAAGGCCGATAACGCACTTGTATCACCTCTGATGTTTCAGGTGTCTAATCATCATTATCGTCAACAGTCCATGACAATGACAGTCCACAGTTGGACTACGGCTCCCTCTTGGAAGGTGTTTGACATAATATCTACATTCAGTGAGCGGGTTCAAGGCATCTGTTAAAATGAATAAGTCCCATAGTGGGCTCATAGGATACTCGCGGGAACAGTTTCCACTCTACCGTCACTATACAGCAAAATAACATAGCACAAGTATATTCAGGGGTCTCGGATTCGATTTTCGGGTCGGGCAAAATATAACTGGGTCGTTTAAAAAAATTCTCAGTAGTAGCACGCAGTCTGGAAATGTGACCGGTGTATGGCAATAGACTCAATGCATATTACATGGTATTCATAACATAAATAGTGAAAAGTGGGTGTTACATTGTGCAATGGTATTATGTGCCGTAATGTACCTCTCTGTCCAAATAAAAGGCGTGTTGTTATATATTTATGTATGTAAGTTTATTCAGCAATAATGTCCAACGTCCCGAGCACTGATAGCGTCCATCAATAACATAATATTATGGAGGACACCGCGTCTGATATATCCGCCATTCGTTTGATCGGAAGACATTCCCTCCAAACTGCTGGACTAGCGTTTATAAATCGTACACACACATACAAGTGTGTACTGTGTAAGTACACACTCACACTGCTGTGCACACAGCATCACAAATGACTGCGCTGTGTCACCGCTGACGCGACGCGACGCGACGGTAGCATAGTGTGGATACGATTGTGAGTTAGTCTCCGATCAATTTCAATATCACAGCCAGTGGCCAGTCTGTCTGACTAGTGCACTACGCAGGACATATTATATTGAACAAGTGTGTGCGCAAGCACAGGTGCATACAATAATAATGTGTATTTGTGAATACATCCACGACACGCGCACTGGTCTAAGTTAAAGATTTATTTAGACAGGTTTCTCCATTGCGATAGCTAAGCCTTAAAAAATATGTAATATGTTACGTCCAAATATATCAAAATCATAAAGAAAAACAAAAATGATCAAATTCTTGGGTAAACTAAACTCAATAATCGAAAATACTAAAATACAAATAAAAAAAGAAGATGAAATATTATATGATTAATCATTCATTGCAAATTGAAATTTTTCGTTGGCAAAAGACAAGTAAGTGTAAAAATAAATCTTTATTATTAAGTATAAATATATCATAGTGTACCAATTGATTGTGTTCGCAATGAAGTACACATTCCTAGTGACCGTAAAGCTTGCAGTAGTATACTTGTCGTATATTAGAGAAGTAGATACTTCAGATACTGACACAGGTATAAATGTAAAAGATGAACACAATAAACGGCTGCCTCGTTGGCTGAGTGGTCGCAAGTGCGACTGCCAGGCAAGGGGTCTCGGGTTCAATTCCTGGCTCAGGCAAAGTATTATTGGGTTTTTTAAAATCTCAGTAGTAGCATGGAGCCTGGAAATTTGCCCGGTATATGGCAATAAGCTGAAAGTGCGTGTTACATTAAGTGCCGTAATGTTGTGCACCTCTGCCTATCCCTTCGGGAATAAAAGGCGTAATATTATGTTGTTGAAGATAAAAAAATTGTTAAAAAATACAAATCCTTTCGCATCCACACTACTCCATTCGTCCTGACCAACAAAAACGCTCACTCAGTAACTGGCCATACAGCAGCGCCCTCTACTCGTGGCGTACGTTTTACTAGCGCATACTGCCCACTGCCTGTAAGTGAGCTTGATGGAGAGCTCGACTCACGAAGTCAGGAGAAATGTTTTTTTTTTCAACCCTTTGCCGGCCGCCAGCGTCGTCGTTTTGTGTCGGTAGAGGTCGCGTGCCCGCTGCGCCACAACTTACTCTCTGATCGCATGTTGTTTTGTTTTGTCCGTTACTCTCAAAGGTATAGGTTGGTACTTTGGTACGTACTTTCGTTTTGTGTTGTTTGTAATCGTAGTGATGTGTGGTTTCATTGGATTTTTGTTTACATATATTGCTGACGTATAGAGATAGATACGTACGTAGGTAAATAGGTAGTCGTAAATAAATTGTAATTATTAAACGAAAATGAATCAAGCAATAAACACCCGACTCATTTCAAAATCTGTTACAATTCTATATTAGGAATCAGTCTGAATTCAATTCCAATTCCTGAAATTTTAGGTAGGTAGGTAGTAAGTAGCCAACCTAGTTCTCTTCCTTTATAAAATTGCTTATTTTAAAAGAACCTACATATTCAGTGGTTCCTTACTTTATAAATACAAAATACTATCTCTATAGTATGAAGCACGACCCACCACGACTTGATAAGTTGTGTCATATACATGTAAGTTTATATAGGGATTTATTTTATGTAAGTCTATAAGTACTATCCTTTTTTATGTATGTATTTCTGTTGATAATTATTCTTAAATACGCTTGCTTCTTGCATCGACCATTGTTTTTGTCTCTACATCACCCAAAGGTCTGGCTGGAGGAGAATGGCCCTAGGCATTAAGCCCACCTTGTACATTTGTGTGTGCATGAAGCCTTTTAAAATAAAATAAAAATAACTCCCACAGCTAATTAAAAATTTATATCAGCTTAACTAGACGAAATTCATCCCAGAATCAACTTGAAACTTACATTATTAGAAATCAGGTACTTTTATACAAACTCACACTCAAACTCAAACTCAAAAGCATTTATTTCAATTTAACCATAATTTGGTACTTTTGAAACGTCAACAAATATGAAATAAATAATAGTCTGTCAGTCTGTCCGTCAGTGAAGCTAGGTGCCAAATCAGTTTACCCGTTCGGTTGTGATTGGGTACCTAAAATCGTGAGCAAAGTAACTACAAACACTATCAGAAACCTAACCGGTATTTAGAACATAATACCAATAATTCAAAAAAGATCAATTCGTTTTGTTTACTTGCTTGAAAACCACGGAATTCAACTCAACGAGTGACGTGCAGTGACCTCTGTTGACGAATAGCCGAACTACTTAACTTTGTGGAATACCAACTTTCATAGTAGTAACGCTATTGTCTACTAGATGACATTAATATATTACTAAAGTTAAGTGAATAAAGATGGCGTTACTAGTAATGAAAACTGAAATCAAACCTTCAATTTTATTGTAAAAGTACCTATTTGAGATTTTTTTTAAAATAACTTGTAATACACTACTGTAACGATATCAAGTAATAATTTGAGCATAAAAATAATACTGATAGATACCTTTTGTTTTTCAGTTCTCGTATAACATCACGCCATTCTAGTCCTCTTTAGAGTTGGCAGAAGTGGAATAAATATATGTACCTATAGAATTGGTACACACTGCATGGTGAAAAATCTTAGAAATAGTACAGGTAGACACTGTGTCTACATTGCTATAATTAAAATAATAGTACGTAGGTACCTATTGTTTCTATTTTATTTACTTTTTCTCGTGTAACCTTACATCTTCCAGTTACCCCACCTCACTCAATGGTTGACTGACTGCGAAAGCCTATAGCATTTAGTCCGAATGAAATAATAAACATTGGTCTATACTAAAATTTCATCATATCGTGGATGAGTGTCACTAAACAGCAATTTGTGGATTACACAAAGATTATAAGCACTCTTCACATCATTTTGTACCTATGGGAATCGAACCCACGATACATTGCGTAGCATTCAATTGGAAAAATCGAAGTGAACTGGATCGCTGTCTGTCCGCCATGTCAGAATGCGATCGAGGTTACTTCGAAAGTCCGAAATTGATATTCAAAGAACAGACTAGCTGAACTGGCATCATTGGAGACTCCCGCGCGATTTTATTCGCTGCTCGGCGTGATGTTTATTGTTCAATGTAATATGAATAATATCTGACACAAAAGGATTTCTCTCGATTTTAACCTCTCGGTTTGAAAATTATCAACCAAACAAACTGCAGCTTTGTAGTGTACCTAGAATGTAGATAGATTTAGGACAGTTCACAGCCATCACACATAATTACTAACTAAATCGCAGTCATCTCTCCTGCAGCAAGTACTTACTTGAAACTCTAAGCAATATGCAATGTGGCAAGTTGTGATGTCGACAAAACACGCCAACCGCGCAAGTCACGCGCAGGAACCAAAATATTGTTACAAACAAAATTTGAATGGTTGCGCAAACAGCTACAGATTTACAAACATGGCCGATTGGTCCACATCCTGTGCTCCGAGTACTTAGAAGTTAGTCCTCACTGACACACACGTCTTGAGTTCACTCACGAACAGTTCAGAAGCTGCCGAAAGTGAGTACATGTATATTTTATATTTGCTCTTCTATAAGTATAATTTAATAATGATATTATAAATAGTTTTAATAATGGTAATTTTATAATAAATAGATTAATGTTTTGCTGGGTTTCATTTTTCATGTAAAACCATTATTATTAACAATTTACAAGATATTTCATGATAAGAAAATAATTCATAGCAAGTCAATGCAGAAAGTCATTTCTTGGTCATTATATATCCCTGTAAGAATTACTGAAAGACTTCCAAGCATTATCCATGTTTATTATTGTTGGCTAGACAACGACCCTATAATATACAAGTAGTGAGTACCACAGAGGTAATACGCCAGTTACACCTTAGGTCAGGCCACTGAGAGCGCGTGTATCGGGCTCAGTCAGTACAGCAGCCAGCAATGGTGCCGGCCGAGTGACGTTCCACACACCGCTCCACCGCGCACGCGTAAGTAGGAACCTACATAATGATTGCACTCCAACGTGCGAAAAGGTATCACTCGCGTCGCTTATTATTAAACCACCTCTTGTTCCAGATACCAAACCCAGAGATGTCGCGGCTGTTCTTCGAACTATTTTCCTTAATATTCTACTTCGCTCAGTCTCACGCCATGATGATGAGAAATGATGCATTAATATCGAAAATGGTATCAGACTTTCAAAAAGACAACACGATGTCTGCCACGCAGCGCTCCCCCGACCAGCCACAGCAGCCACAGCTGCAGCCGTCGCACCAACAGTCGCACCAAAAGTCGCACCAACAATCGCACCAACAATCGCATCAACAATCGCATCAACAATCGCATCAACAGTCGCACCAACAGTCGCACCAACAGTCGCACGTACAGGTGCACAGGTCGCAGCAGGAGCTGCAGAACCCCGACATTCTGTCCATGATGCAGAATGTGCTCTGCAAGAACTTCCCCACGATACCGTGCGGCATGATCGTGGAGGACGACACGCTGCGCAACCTCATCGAGCGCTCTATACAACAGCTCAAGTACAAGAAACTGTCCATGGAGAAGACGACATCAATACCCGGCTACCACCTGACATTGTTTCCATCTATAAACAGCGAAGATCTGTCAAATTTTCTACAAGTCAGCGAGAATGGGTACTATAAGAACAAGGCCGAGAAATCAAGATCGAGGAAACACAAAAAAAGAGTCGCGAAGGCAAACGTAGAACAACCGACGGGGGAGAGAGACAACAAGAAGAAAAGCAAGTCGAAGAAGGACAACACGAGGACCACACTGTACAACGGCAGGAAGAAGATAAGGAAGTTCTATCCGCACAAAATAAAGTACAAGGATAAGTCGAAGGGAAGGAAGGACTTCGTGGACTACTCGGAGGAGAAGCTATCGATGTCAGTGGAAGTGCCAGACCTAAACATGGGGGGAGCAGGGATAGGTATAGCCACCGGCAGGAAGCGGTCGGACCACGTCAACTTCAAGATGGAGCCCGTGGACCCGCCAGTGTGGCGGATAGACTACATGAAGCACGGCGAGCCCAGCCTCAACGTGTTTGGCTACGAGCCGGGCCGACTCAAGGAGAAGCTAGTGAAGACCGGACCCAACGTCATCGTCTCCGAGAACGTGCTGGAACAAGCTGCCAGGAAGGACGTGCTACACCCTGACGTGTATATTAAGAAGAACTTTATCAGGAAGAACGTCCTCGACATGAACTCCGGCGCCATCGACTAGTAGCAGGCTAGCAGCAGATTTTTATAAAGAACTATTGAATTAAGTTTTATTAAATTCTTACAGCATCTCGCATGATCAATTAAATTAATAATAAACATCAATTTGTAAGAGTTTTGTTTCTACCCTTGTCATTACCATCACCATCATCGACCTTTGTATTCAATTGCTGGCAGCCAAGCAGCGGATATCGTCACTCCACCTTTTTTTTGATGACGGGGGGAAACCATCAAAAGGCGCCCAGCCTTTTTGGGGATAAAAGACTAGGGAATGCGGGATTTGTACCTCACTAAAACCACCCCGGTGGCCACCCTCAACACGTGAATGGAGGCACTGGGTCCTCTAAAAGAGATCGTCACTCCACCTAGAGAATAGTTTGCAACCTCAAGTTACAGTTACATATATTTTTTGTTGTCTGACACTGAGTAACAATTTGTAAAATAACTGAATAGGTCAATAAATACATTTACATCATTAACATTCTATCGACTAATCCAAAGATTACTGATACGTTGAGGATCGCAATATTTTATCAATTGCGAGGTGACAAGACTTAGCACTAGATCTGATAATATTACATTATTATTTTTACCGACTTCAAAAAAAGGAGGAGGTACTATGTTCGGCTGATAGTTTTTTTTTTTGTTCGCGCAGTACTCCGTCATTTTGTGAACCGATTTCCAAAATTCTCATATCATAATGATATAACTTAATGTCCCCAAAATTGAGAATTAGTCATCTATTAAGGTTTAATGAATAATTTTGTATGGAACTTATGGCACCGACTTCTTACCTATCAGTGGGTGGGTAACCTATCAGTACTAATAATAGTTATTTTTTGCGTTTTAGTTTTGACTTTTTGTTTGTTATTAGTTTTTGGTTTTTTGAAGTGGGTTTTTTAAACGCAGTTTTTATTTTATTATTCTATGTGTGTATTCATTTAACTCGTTGAGTACCGTCATTATAGACACAATTAAAGAACAATAGGTTGCGGTCACCGGTGACCGCTCGGTGTTTGATAGTTTAAATAGGTATTTCTAAGGTAGTAGGTATGGCCTAATACATACTTTTCTCTGAAACACAGAGATGTGCAATTTTTTCTTACTGTCACTGTCAACCTTTTATTTTTGTATCGAGGTAGATAAGCTGAAACTCTTAAAATTGCACGACACATAATGATTCGACCGCCTTCATTAATATAATTCATTGTTTGATGTTGACATGCACTGGATGTGGTATTCATTATCTCTACCACTAACAACTTGTTGCTGGCTGACGATAACAACTCGTTATCAGTTGTTGATGTAGTGGTAGCATTCACTCACTTTATCAAAGATACAATGTTCAACTAACTAATACCTAATAATCACATTATAATATCATATTATCATATCCTACGTGAATATAGATAGAATGATAGAATGGCTTGTTAATTCAACTCATATTATTATAATTAAGCTCAAACACTAAAAATAAGCTCTAGAATAAAGTTCTTCAACCGCCTGTTATTTTATAAATAGCTCTATAAAGACACGTGTCCTGTTATTTGCTCAGTATTTAACAGTAGGAGTATTTGTCAGTTATTCATAAATAAATCTATTTATGGAAACAGGAAATGTAAATAAACAAATCGTATTTATTCAACACAATGTACAAGAATTTTGCCATCCGCAATATTTTACAATCAGATAAAGAGATACCAACACAGTCACATAAAATTAAATAATCCCCTACAAAAATAATCGTGTGCGGTTCTCACTATCTTTATAATATCTACGAAAAATAGGCATGCGACAAATGTAAACAAAAATAGCATCTATCTCTAGTGATTGAGAGTTCAAGTTTAAATAAAAAGTAATTAGTTAATATGCGTAAACGTTGAGAGAAAACATCTTTATCGTGTAGTTTGTGTGTGGACGAGCAAACAGGACAGACGTAAACGATGTCACGACCCGTTCTATCGACGCATGTGTTGGACACATCTACGGGGAGGCCTGCAGCGGCTCTGTTTGTTGAATTATACAAGAAAAAAGAAAATTCGTGGGCACTATGGCACAGCACAACGACCACTAGTGATGGGCGAATACAATTTCCGTTTACAAACGACTCGATGTCTGGAGGAACATACAAGTTAATGTTTAAAGTCGGTGATTATTATAAAATGCTTGATAAGGAGACGATATATCCCTTTGTTGAGGTACGTATCTACTGTTTGTTCATCTTGTGTTGTTTATGATACAAGTACCTAAGGTTATTGTATCTGTGTTTATTATTAAGAATTAAATTTATGGAGATACTTTGTAGAGCAATGTAATAAAACATAGGAATGACATAAATCATTTACTTGTGTGCCGATGTTGTTTCAAATAAAACGTCGGTAGAGATATAATTTCAATTCTCAATCAATAAGCAATTTGTTATTAAATAAGGTTAATATTTTGTATAAGTATTGAGCAAGTGCATGTCTCAGCTACATTTAATTCAAGCGCATAACGTTGCCTATAAAGCCGTATCGTTATTTTTATATCCGTATTAAATTTAAATCATCAACTTTGTGAATTTATTGAAATCTTTACGACCTACTTTGTGTTCCGTTTACTATTACAACATTCTTTGTTATAAATTTTATTGTAATAAAAATAGGAGCCAGTTCCTTACTTATTATGGGACTTAGGATAATTGCATCGTGAAGATGAAGATAAACAATCCTGTTTTACTGTTCAATCCCCAAGCGGTCGCCGGTGATCGCTCTCCACCAACTCTATTATAGACCTTAGTTCCGATGTTTAGAGACTACTTTTGTATGAACAAATTTTGGGAATTTTCGGTACAATATAAGTACATATACTTAGCATAGAGCTTTAGAGAAGGACTAGAAGCCCATGAGACATGAATATTTAGGTATAGTTCATGGAACTCAGGGATAGCCATTACAGATACAAATCTCTAATTATGTACACAAAGCACCGCTAATTAGTTAGCGGCGCTACACATCGACACAACTATCATTTACACAATATACATGTGTGGGTAATTTTATATCAATAGATATGTATAGAAACATTCGTCTATCACACACATCTTGGTATTTAAAAATCATTTTTGTGTCGGTATACGCAATAATTTAGTAAATAAGTTTAAATAAAAACGAGGGTAAAGATAAAATTACTCATAACAAACTTTGAATAAATCGAAATCAAAAATAATGAACGATCGAGCTATACAATACCCATATAAATATAGTGCTTTCTCATTGTAATTTTATGTTACTGAATGATATAAAATATTTCGATGATCTCATCTACAGCGCGCTTGGCGCAATGGTTATCGCCTCCAATTGTCAAGTAAAGTGCCGCCGGATCGATTCCAACATTCACATGTTGTTTTAGAATTAATTTATCAAATATTTGAAATTAGAAACAATTAAATCTTTTCTTTTTTTTCCTTTCCTATTGTTCTAAATCTTATGTTAATTTTAATAGTAAATACTTTAGATTTATTTATACCTATAATATCTTTTATTTATATTTTAGTTCTAGTTATTTATTATTTAGAATAATCTCATTTGCTTCATGCATTTCAACCAACTTAAATAAGATAAAAACAGTAAAAAAGTAATTAACTGTGATTTCTTAATGGTTCGATACCTGAGTATATTTGCAATGTTTGTGGCGACCATAGAAATCTCGAGTCATTTTATTTTACACGCTTATGAAGTAACTACCGACTATTTAAAACATGTTTTTCAAATCACCCGACTTACAAAATAATTGCGTTCTTAGTTGTCAATTTATGAGGATTTCATAGTTTATTGCTACACTACTTATATTCGTGTGCAAAGTTATTTTTATTTTTACAAGATGTTCCAACACCTATCAACATTTAAAAAGGCTGAAATCATTGTTTTGCATGAGCAAAACATAACTAACAATAACTGAAATAGCAAGGCGTTTAATGATATCGGTGAGTAAATAAGATACTACGTTGATATTCTAAATAATATTTATTTCATTTTGTAACTCGACACACCTATCAATTTTTGCACTAGAATAAAATAATTATTGCAACTTATTATGAAGTTCAATATTATAAAGATATATTAATAATTTATTATTAATTGTATTGTAACTTGACTTGTTTTTGTTAGGAGTGTTTCTTTAAAACATATCTGGTTAGGGATTTTTATTCCTTACGCCACTACTTAATTATAAATTATTATTCTAACATTGTGTTTACTTATATTTATTATTATTTTTAAGTAACTTTAATTCCTGTAAAGTATTTCCTGGTATTTTAAATACTTATTTGTTTGGTATCAACAGAGGAGATCCATGCAGTTATGGGTGCACAGATATGCGGAGACCGGTGACGTTAAACATCGTCGACGTGGGCCTAAACCAAAGGCAAATTCATCGGCTCGGCACTACGACATCGTACCAGGCACATGGCTGATCCGTTCCTGCCAACCCGCACTACAGCGACAGCACTGAATGTTTTAATACAAACTGTACGGAGACACCTGCATTCTGGTTTAAGGTGCAGGAAGCCAGAGAAGAAAATATTGTTATCTGTGGTTCACCAGCAAAAGCGCTAAGAATTTGCTAAGGACTTTATTAATTTTGATTGGGCGAACAGTGTAATCATATTGAGCGACGAAAAGACTTTCAAGTCGGATAAGGATGGGCGTAAAATATTGTGAAGAAAAGATGGAGAAAGGTATACGAATTGCAACCTTCTGCCTTGTAGGATCAGTGATTGTATTGATTTCGGAATCAATTATTGAGCCTGTCAAACTCTGCCTTTTATTAAAATTAACATAAAATAATGTTTAATTTTTTTAAGAATATTAAAATGCTGTCTAGAACATACGGTGAAGTGATGTTATTGTTTTGTGGTTAGAAATTGTCATAATTTCTTTCTATTCAACATGTTTATTCACTTCACTTTAATTTTTCATTAACAAATTTATTTAACTGCTTTCGAACTTGATTGACATATTATATTTACGCCCATCTTCAATTAATTTAAAGTTTCCCTGATTCTAAAGGTCATGAAAGTTAAAATCGTTCCATAGCATTCGTCACATTCTTTTTACTATCATACAGCCCACTGAATATTGAACCTTATAACAACCGTCGTAAAATAGATAATTAATGGAAGTTCAAACGACAAAAAGTCGCCCATTTCAAGAAATATTATGTTGACAGTGTAATTTTTTACATGTTTTACTTGTTTATTACTGTAAAACTGTAATTTAATAATACATTATATTATTAAATTACAAAACAAGAATGTTGTATATTTGTTTATTACCTACTTAATAAAAAATGTTGCTGCCATCGTATTACCGCTGTACCGCATGATATTTCCCGATTCGACTATGAGGTTTATTGTCATATCTATTAATTATGATTTAAAGAACTTTAAACTTAACATGTGTTATATAATTAATTATTAGATATAAATATTGAATATAAAACAACATATTTGTATAATAAATAAATTAATTGTAATAAAAAATAGTATTGTTTTATTAACCAACTCCTTTGCTTCTTTTATAGCCTGATATTTATATTTTATGACAAAAAACAAAAAAAAAAAATAAGAAAAATAACAAGGTAAAATAAAATTAACTTTTAGCTGGAATAGAACCCACATCATTGATCCTTGAAAGACGATAAAAGCGTGCTCATTAACCAATCGACCACGAGCACTACGATAATGACAGTGAAAATGTCGGGTCATATCAATGATTGTAAATAGTTTTAACCTTACCTATGCATTAAATTATAAAAATACGTATACCGACACAAGAATGAAAATACCAATGTGAACGTGGTGGACGAATATTTTTATATACAGTTATATGAAATTACGCACACATGTACACTGTGTAAATGACAGTTGTGTCGATGTGTAGCGCTGCAACTAATTAGCGGTGCTTTGTGTACATACCTACTGTTATCGCTACCTACTTTGTACGTACCTATACCTAGTTTCCTGGGGCACTATTTAATTCTATTGAGCATGCTTTGTTATGATGAAGACGGAAGCCTCACGATAACTTGCGTTCAAGAATCTATTTTAAAATAATATACCTCGGTATAGAGTACATTATTTGCTTACCTATGCACTTAATCAATGGTAGGTCGTAGAAAAGGATCTACTAGACCTCTCTTATCTCTAGACTTAATCTCATGTAAAAATATCGGCGACGCACTTGCAACCCTGGTGTTGTGAGTATCCACATGAGACCATGAGCAGCATCACTATTGTATACAATCAGGTGATTCGCTTGCTAATCCTATAAACTGACCAGTAGGAGTACCTACCTGCCTACCAACTCAGTTGCTTAAAATTAGGTATACAGATGAACCCAAAATAGTTTTCATCAATCACTGGCCATAGGTTGGGGTCGGAGGTCATTGACCTAACCCACGTAGCGATATACCACTTTATTTAAATGAGTAAAATTAATTATAATTGAATCATTTTGATGTAATTTAACCTTGACAGAGCAGATTAGCTATCATTTATTATTTCAATACGGCGCGGTGTCGAAATATCTGTTATTGCTTGCCTCTCCATCTACGTCATTTTAGGTCTATAGGTCGTGATTAATTCATAAGAATCAAGAAATAAAATTTATTTATAGCTATAAAAATATCTCTGCCGTCATGTCTCATTCAGAGTTGATCTGAAATTTAATTTATAAGGGTAATTTAACTTTACTTACATAGGTATCTAGTTTTGTAAATACTTGGTACTTGGGCTGCTCCAGTTACGTGCCAGAATCGAACCAGCAATAAATCGCCTCAATCCAATCTCTTGACTGAACGAAATCTTTTGCTTGACACAAACTTAAAGAATCAATGACAAAAAATGTTGTATCTCCGTAAAATAGTAAGATCAGATTATTCTAAACAGTAGCGCTGACCATTAAATACCCATCTAACGTTATGTCCCTCATTTCCAGATAACGTTCAACACCAAAGACGGCGAACACTACCACATACCCCTACTGCTGAGCCCCTACGGATACTCCACCTATAGAGGAAGTTAATCATCACAATAGCGTTACAATAAACTTTATTATATTTTCTTTTTTAATTGCAAAGGATTTTATTGTTTATTCAGTCAGAACCATGTTATACTTTCATCTTATATTGGAAAATGTTAGAAAATTTTGAAATCAAAAATTCATTAACAATTGAAATAACATCACTTCATATTTTTAGTAGTAGGTGGTGCTAGTGGATAAATACATCAACAGACCTGACCAAAATGTCAAAACCAATTTCAGCCGTTATCCTGCCATATCAGGTTGCCTGGCATCTTGCGTAACCTGAGATTAGCCACAGGAAGATGAATTTAAACTAAGAAATACGCCTAACGCTTATAATTGGTATCCCTGTTAAGTAAGAAAGATGCACCGTAGGTATTCAGTTGAAATAAAAGACACCAGTAACGGTCAATAAAGTAAAATAAAATACATTTTATTTTTACATTAAAAGATACAGGGACGCTCAATAAAAACTTAAGCTATCTAAAAAACCTGCAAAATTACTTGTTAAATTAACTACTTCACATGTCCACATTCTTCATCTACAATAGATAATAGATTTTAACACTTTATTATAATAAAGAATTGCTAACATTACGTTTGCCAAGCAGCCGACATATTAATTAATGGAAGAAACATGTACCTATTCCAGTTTCCTACACGGCCTGGAACGCATTTCTGTAATCTTTGTTGCTCTGCTACCAATAGAAGTTACATAAAAATAGTAATAACATTGGCAGCAATGTCTAATGTATAGTCAGATGCGGCATAACGTAATGTTGCGGTTACTCCTGTTGATCTAAACTAAGTACTAACGCAGCTTGTACAACTGGAGTTTGTTGAGCTACTAAGTCTCTATATTGGAAAACGATGACATAGTTTCTATAAAATTAATTAAAGTACATAGCTCACTTAGATAACAATATTAACTAATTATCTTTCCATAGTATTCTGATAGTAGCAATTATTGCGTTACCTAATCGTTGATCATTGTGTAATCTATTCAGACAGTTGCAATAAGTTTAGAATAACATGACAACCTTTGTATTCACCCTAGCTAGGTACGCAAGTCTTGCAGCTACCTACATGAGTCCTCTTTATACTAGTTTATCACCCTGCCACAATTACTTACTAGACTGCCAATTAATCTAAAATTTATAACAAACTAAAAATAAATGCAATGAGTTTCATTGTCTTTAAATATATGAATATATTCTCATAACAATTCAACTACCTATGACATAACATAACTAAACATTTCGATATAATTCTTTAAAATATAAATAAAAATAGACTTTACATTTATGAGCTAGATTGGAGCATATAATGTAAACATTAAGAATTGCTTTAAGTTTAAATCTCACAATTAGTGTTCTATCTAGTATTCTTAACTACGAGTATACAGGTTTGTAACAATGTTTGGCAACTCGCTGCGGGGTCTGGCATGTAGTCTCTGTAAGGTAAATGGTCACATTCATCAGTAAACGGCCGTGGCTCGGTCTACACACCGTTTCTTCATACACAACACTACAGTCACAGTCTATCACATTTCTGTCCAATGTCCTGTTTCTTCATTGCTTCGACTTGTACAGACCTATGACGCATGGCGTTAACGTTTTTAGCAATTTGTTACTCGGAACTTCTCCACAAGTAGCATTCATTCAAAGACAAAGGAAATTATATACTGACGGAATAAATTACTTTTATGGGTAGCATTCTTCAATAACATTATCCTTGAGCACTACCTAGTTGAAAAGGTCACAGTTTCATATTAAATTTTATTATAGCCGCATACAAATCAATATCTCTGATTCATTTAAACCAAAAAAATTTACTTAGAATACCTACTGTGCTAAAAGAAAGATTTTATAGTCTGAGTCCTGACCCTAACAAAGAATAAGTTTAAATAATAACACCTCAAGTTAAATAATGCTAAAAATGCCAATCACCATCATAAAGAAACACATTTGCTAAACAAGTAACAGAACAGTTTAGTGAACCTCCTGCGGAGTGACTTGATGAGTAGAGCAACATGTAGGTATTTAATGGACTCTGTCTGCATCCTTCATTATATACAATTACCTGAGTACAGCTGTGGAGGAAACAACATTAGGATACATGTATAGTGTGACTGGCAGATTCAATACTTACCATTTTGAATGTCGTGATTTCTGAGTGACGACCCTCAGAAGGAGCATTGAGCGCCAACATCTAGTGTAGTGAAATCAGAATCAAACCATTAGAATCTGGGTATTGTTGTATACCAATGTACCACAACCTTGGACCTTATTCTCATGAGTTATAGTCTTAGAGCACAAACAATCTTCAGGGCTTCTCTTTAAAACATGAGCTACAAAGACAACTTTACCACATTCCTAATAGTCACAGGGGTAAAATACTAAATGTCACTGTCATACAATTTCTTACTTCATTTCCAAGTCTTTTTTTAAAATACATTGCAAATGAAGAAATCTTCAACACCTGATAACTAATACAGATGGAGCTTTCTCTGTGTAACAACATAAACAATTGACTGACCTGCAATCCAGTCCTGCAAACAAAATAATATTGTAATACAAAAAAATAATAAAGTTCAGAACCCACCTATTTCCCTTCCTCCTGTCCGACAACCTCCTTATATCTTGCAATCATTAGCTTTTTAACAGTATCTCTGTATGTCTCCCCAGGGGTTGGAGTATAAATACCTCGCTTCTGGCCTAGCCCTGCTAGACTCGGTCGCTGTTCAGCTTCAATGGGAGCAATTCTTCCTTGCTCTTCTTTACCTAGGCCTCGGCCTTCAGACCAGCCCATCTTTTGTAGCATCTTACCTCCAATAGTGTCAACGACTGATGGTGGAGGATGCGGCGCCATCGGTGGAGGCATAGAGTCAGGCGGGTCATAGCGCTTGCGTATGATGGGCGTTTCGTCTTCACCAAATTTCATTCGCCTCTCTGCCGCCCTGTCTCTGTATCCGTTCATTTGCGGGATCAGGTCGTTCTTCTTGCGGAACTCGGCCAGGTTCTGTTTGTGGAGGTCTGACAGTGATTTGTGTTTGTTCAGTACATCAGCAGACGGGAACCGTCGCTTACAAATGAGACAGGTTAGTTTGCTCCAATCTATAATACCTTCATCACTATCAAACGTGTTCTCAGTGTCTGACACTTTTTTCATTAGAAAATCATCTCCGGTGGGTGGTGGTGATATCTCCCTGACATGTGTCAGAGATGGACCAGAGCCCAACACAGAAAAGCCTATGTCAGCTGATCCCTTACTGGCTCCTACATCTAGGGGCTGTTCCATAACAATATTACTCCTAGCATTCTCTTTCTTTTGGTTTAAAGTTCTTGCCCACCTCTCCATATCTTTAGCTATCTTTTTGGCAACTTTGACTTTATCTTCTTTGTCTTTCTTCTTCTTTTCCTCTGGCTCTTTAGCAATGGTGTTCTCTGAGGTGGCTGTGGGTGGGTTTGGCAGTTTAGGCTGCTCAGTGTTTTGATGTGCTTGCGTGGCAGCTATGTAAGTATTACTGGCCGCATCCCAGTACATGTATTGGCTAGTTTGGCTGTTATAGAAGTATTGACTAGTACCGTCATAGTACAAGCCCGTGGCTGGGTCATAGTAATACCCAGAAGTCTCATCATACATAAAAGTTCTTACATCCGGGGGACTATACACAGTTTTCCCATCACCAGTTGGTACTTTCACTGAAGGGGCAGTTTGTGCAGTAGAAGTCACAAATACTGGGACACTAACAGGAGTCCACGCTAGGTGGCGAGCTTGGGCTGCAGATATGGCAGACTGGGCTACAGCAGCGGCTGCATTCACTCTGTCTGCCTCAGACATTGCCTGAGCTGACGAATTATAATTAGACATTTGAGCATAGTAGGAAGAATAGTCTGCACTAGGGGGTTTAGAAATTTTCTTAGGTTCATTATAGAAACTGACAAGAACCTCCCTTCCATCAATTTCTAGTGGAGGCTGAAGGGAAGCTAGCTCAGAGTGAGCGGCTGTAGAGTCAGCAATGGAATTGAAATTAATGTAAGCCAAACACTTGGATGCGCCAGTTAGAGTTTCTCTACCAATAGTGATGCCTGCAATGGAATCTAAAACAGTCTTTGAGCATCGTTCTTTTATAACTTCTAATATTTTCTCCTCCGTGGTCAATGCATCCAACCTTCTGAACAACAATCGTTTAGTGATGCCGGCGCTTTCTGATAACAGATTCCTGTCATTGTCACCTCCATACACAATGCCATCTGACCTCTTTCCTTGACAGTTCCGTCTGTAGCACACCTGACGCCGCTTGAAGTTGTACAGTCCACACTTACAAAACCAATCCCCCGGGGATGCATTGATGGCCTGGTTGTCGTCATGTTTGTCCCTGCCGTCGTACTTATTGTCGTACTCTAAGTCCATACGGTCGCGACTGTTGGAGCGGCTGCTAGACCTAGAACTGGCTTTGCGATCTAATTCGCTAATGTTGGGCGGGGATGGCGGTGCCGGTACATCACGTTCACGGTCATCGTAACGCTTGGGCGACCTGCGGCGGTCGCGGTCGCGGGGTCTGTCGTACCGCTCGCGACGGTAGCGGTCGCGGCGCTCGCGGTCCTCGTCCCTATCGCGGTCGTAGCGGTCACGGTCGCGGTCGAAGCGATCGTGGTGGTGGCGCTCGGCGCGCGGTTCCCGTCGCTCGGGGCTCGCGCTCCGCCGCGACTCCCACACGGGCGAGCGCGGCCTGCCCTCGGCCCACCTGTCGTCGTCGCCCCACCTCGTGTTCCTCTCGTCACGGCCTCGCCACGACATCGTACACGCCTGTGAACATCACCCGTACAAATAAAGCGACTGTACTCACAAACCGTTCGACGCCGCAGTCCCATTTCCTCCATGTTGGTTGGCCTACAATCGTCGTTCAATAACCTTTCTCCTCGCCGTACTATTGTTTACCTGCGCAGTAGCCACTGAGAAGATAATATATGCCTTTAATAACACGCGGTCAACAAGTAACAGCGGAATAACACACAAATAGATGTCGTAACAAACTCAATTTCTTGTTTTTTACTCGAAATTATACGCAAAAGCATAAAGTACGCGTCAAGAACGCCATGTTTTTTTAATGGCTAGTGATAGTGATGTCATTCAAAAACTGACTTTGACATTGTATTTAACAATGACATTAATGCATAGACAATAGCAAAGACTTTAGTAAGTTTTTAGTTAGTTTAGTAATTAAGAAAACTCAGAACAAGTATAATAAATAATTTATTAAGTTGAAGACAATTTGATTGCGACTATGAATAATTAACGACAATATAATTCCTTATTTGTGAAAATGGAATATGAGATGACATTCTAATGATGAGATGAATGATGATAATAAAATTAAAAGTGAAACTATATTCTGATCTGATAATGATGGATAATGTGTCTCAATGAAACTTATTATCTTAATTATTACGTTTACGTAGGTGTATAACTTCACTTTACTAATAATCAAACCAGCAACTATAATACGATTGGCTTTTATCTCTTCTCTTTCCTTGGGTAATAAAATGAATTAATTCGTTACTTATTTCATTAATAACATGATACTTGAACTTCCTAAAAGTACAAGTTATACATAATCACACAACACTATAGACCAAAAATAACACTATGGCGCCATCTGTTAACTGTATTTTTGTTTATATTTATTGAATAATCATTTGTTCCTCGATTGTTCCTCAACACAGGACGAAACGCAAGTTTTAAAATAAATAATGACAAATACATTATTGAATATGATTTATTTTCCTTTAATATTAAATGATGACCATGTCATAAATACTAGTGAATTGATTAAATGAATCGCAGAAATCTTGCTTATCTAAACAACTAGCTACTGCCTACATTGATCTAAGCAAAATATTCGAAATGATTTCTATTACATAGGTATGTACTTAAATCTAGAATGACATAATTTATGCTAAACAATAATCAAATAAATCTTACAATAAAATACACATTTTGGTCTAAAGGTTTCGAAATAAAATCGGCTTTCAGTCATTTCATATAAATATCTAAAATAGCAATAATTTAACTACTGCTGTTACAAAAGTGACAGTAGGTATGTAAATCTAAATACAATATTTATACAATTACAACTAAGTGTAGGTACATCAGTGTTCAACATTAGAAAGCATTGTTTCATGTGGAATGTCAGTACGTACATTTATAGGTACATTCACATCTATGAAGGTTTAATGTCGGCAACTCTAAACAAGCCGACGTGTATATGCTCACACTTGTAATACAAATTAGATCTAATAAACAGACACCAATCTATGAAGGAATAGCACTACACTGAGAATGTCTCTATCATTACAACCACTGATTGTGTTGCAAGCCACACTGACCCAGGAAGCTTACTTGTGTCAAAAGCAATTATTATTGTATTGTAACACAAGTCATATTCGAGCGTCTCCAGGCTCGCCAGGAATGTGACGCCCTGAACACGGGAGCTAGTACTTGTGACGAGGATATACCTCACACCAAGTACTACAGCAAATTATTTATTTACTCAAACATTTTCTTACTTTTTACTTGATGACGCGCTAGCGAGTGACTTAGATGACATGAGCATAGCTTGTATCACGATTTCTATATGTTTAATAATGATGAAGTAGGTGGTAGCTTTGGTTTATGGATACTTGAAAACATGAAAAGGAAATAACGCATTTTAGCATGGCAAGTACATCTGCTAGCTCATCAGTAGCGCGGTCACGTAACAAGCAAAGCTGACGTAATGAGTAAACAATTAGTTGCAGTTATTGAGCTCCATGTCCTCAGGAATGTCACCCTCCTGGTAAGGATAATACTAGTCTCTCCTCCCGGCCACCAAGTGTTCCTGCAGCGTGTTGATCTCTCGCTCGATGTTCTCTCGCGCGGCAGACTCGAAGCATTCGAATTCAGGAGAGTGGAACAGCTTGGGGATTTGACTGAATTGGTTCAGCACCTGAAAGTGAATGAGAAACGATACAGATATAGTCGCGGTATCATATTATGATGATATATGAGTATGTTTGTTTGAATGTGCTTATCTCTGAAACTTAATTCAAATTTAAAAATTCTTTTAATTTCGAAACCAGGCTATATCACGCTGCAATCGATAGAAGCTGAGTAGCTGGTGACAATATGCGGGAGTAGCTAGTGGACTGATAGAAAATGAGAATTTATGTAAATAGGTAGAGCAGAGACCTTGATCCTCAGCTGCACGTAGTTGTCGTTGGTGAGCTTGGAGTACTCGGCGCGCACGAGCTTGGCGTGGGCGTCGTACTCCTCGCGCGAGGCGGCCAGCACGGCCAGCTCGCAGTCGCCGAACAGCTGCAGGTCGCGCAGCGGCGCCGGGCCGGCCGGCGACACGCCGCGCCCCAGCGCTATACCTTCCACCTCGTCCGCCGACTCCCCGTCCTCCTCGCCCTCGCCGTCTTCATCACCTTCACCGTCAGCGTCCTCATCTCCCTCTCCCTCGGCTTCCGCCTCCGCGTCCCCGTCGTCTTCCCCCTCGCCAGACTCCGGATCGACTTCTATAGGATCGTCGGCCGTAGTCGAATCCGGCATGTTAGGGTTGTCGCTGGAATGCGTGGTGGAGTCCGGCGGCGGCATATGGGGTTTGGATAGAGCGGCGGAGGACGCGGAGTCTGCGGGTCCATTGGCCTCGTTGGCGTCGAGGTCTGTGTCGTGTCCGGGGTCGGGGCCGTCGGTGTCGTGTCCCTGGTCGGCGCCGTCAGAGTCCGCGCCATCGGAGTTGGAGGAGTGTTCTTCCTCCTCCTCCTCGCTGGGAGGAGAGGACACGTTCGACGGAGAGCTACAGTGTCCGCCACTCCACTGCGCCTCGTCGTCCGTCAGCAGCGCCAGGATGTACGACGTCAAGTCTTGCTGGAAAGTTGCAATGTTACAATATTAATTTAAAAGAAATAATTGCCTGACATCGCAATGTAAAACAATTCCATCTCATTACTATGAAAGTACTGAAATTATTTTTAATTAACTATTTGGTACTTCTCAGTTGTCACCCATTGTGTAAATTACGAACAGTAGTATAGACTCAGTAATTACGCACCGACTGTGGATGCAGCCTCAGCAAGTCAGACAGAAGTTTGACGGTGAGTTCAGAAGGAGTATGTCTCAGCACTATGGCCAGCTTGAAGGCGGCCGGCTGTATGACGTCATCCACTCCCTTGTTGAGCAAGTTCTGCCATACTCCCGCCTGTAAGCCAGCAATATACATCGCTGTTACAAATAAAAACAAATCAATAACACCTTTATAGTATAGGAATAAATCTGTAGTATAGGAAATCGAAGGATCGTCTATAATATCGGAAAAAATAAATAAATAAATAAGAATAAAGTTGAGAATAGGATGAAATTGTTAATAATATTAATATTGGACCTAGACATAGAAACTGTTTTATGTAGGTATACAATTAAAAGTTACAGCAGCAGTGCTTATAGCAAGCAGGTGATCTCTTCCAGGCAACCTTAGGATCGCTTCATGAGATTAGGAAAAATTACAAAATGAACAAATATTTGAAATTGTGTAACAGAAAACCAAGACATAGTTTAATACCTGATAAGCTACACAGTTCCGGAGTGTGTGCCAGAGTGACTCCGGAGGGGAGGCTTCCACCACCTGCTTCCAAGCATCATCAGCATCGGGTGCTACCAGTGTGTTGCAGGCGTTCCGCCACATACGCATGGCGGAGCATCCCTGCGGCTCACCAGAGGTCACCGGTGCACTCAGTACTGATATTCAAACAGTACAGTTAAAGTATCATTAGTGGTAGTAGCACCATAATGTAGTACATACATAACATACACATAGGCCAATGATATTATTATGAATGCTCAAATTGTACCGTACATATGCTAGACACTATCAAATACTTTTTATTTCTGTATAACATTATTTCACTAACTAGCAGTACTGTAGAGCTAGGAGCATAGCTAACATTATTGTACAATTAAGTGGTTTTTTTTCCTAATAGTGCCACGACAGTCACAGGTGCCTTACGCTAGTGGAGGTTTGACTTTCACCATTTTCTACTTGGCAGTTATAGTGTTCAAAGAAAATAGTGTACTCACCTCCCATGTCCGGTTCTCTCCACCAGTTGTTTGCCATTTTACCGGGTTCTAGCCCGACGGGCTAATACTGCAACTGAAAATTACATCAGAGATCCATCATTACCACCAGCCTATGCCGCACTGCATGGAAAGGCCAATGAGGAAAAGGCCTTTTTTTCACATTATATATGCAGATTTGTAAATGTAAATTAACAATATTGCTGCAATATAAGATCACAACCCACAGGGACAGCATCTCCAGCCGCTTCAGTAGTTCAATAATTTATTCCGTCTGCCAGGCGACACAAGAATCGGGTTTCAGTTAACAACTCAACATGAAATTGACATATAATTTCATTATCTTGTATATAGGTATATTAGGAAATAAATATGATTTGTTGTAAGATAGGCTACTGTTTTGTGTCTAAATAAAAATCGGTAACCTCGGCCATGTCGCCCGGCACGGCCCAGTCGATAGCCAACACCAAAACGGAGTCAAGCAGAATATTTTAATGAGTATACTTAGAATTTAACATCAATTTCGGCTGAACCAAGAAGTCATCATAATCTGATGTACTATTAAATAAATAAGACAAAACTTATTAGTATTATAATAAAAAATCAAACAATAAAAAAAATAAGTGACATTAAAAATTGTGACAAAAGAATAACGAATTAATACTGATGTCAGTACTACAATTAAAACAAAAATAATCTACTTACATCAATTATCCAGGATAGTTTTCAGCACAATAATATTATTTTTTCGAAATTAATTTAACATTTAGCCGCTTAGCATATTTGCCGACTGTCATGGCGGCTCGACTCGATCTCGATACTATAATAGGGAGGCCGGCCGAGCAGCCTACTCGATACTACACTACTCGCAATCGCAACTGATCAATCGATTAGTTTACGACCTTACATTATTATAGAAATATAAGTAGGTAAGTACTGTAAGTAGGTACCGAATCTTTTAGTAAAATAATCACCCAACAAACATTTGTTATCCTTATCCCTCATAATTCAATGATTCAATCTGTAAACGTACACCATTCTTTTTATTTTAATCATCATTCTGTAAATTATTTACAGCTACATTACACAGATTTAGTAGAAAAATAGAAACATTGAGCCACTTACAGAATATTATATTATAGAAATTTCTTACAAGCAGAATTAATTTAGAATTAATATGCCAGTATGACTAAGTAATTGAAATTCTCAACTACATACTTATTACTAGCTACTATACTTTGTTTTTGCTATGTTGCAAGTCGACACGTATTTCCAACACCTAAAAATCATGGTCTTTTTAACAAGAACTTTATCTAAGAAAGGTACCAATCTAAATACTAGAACACATAGGCGCACAATGTGTACCTAGGAATGATTTAATCATAATTATAGTAGGTGTGTTTATAGGTAGGTACTACATACACCTACAAACCATGGTTCTTTGCTCTCTTCAAAATCTGATTTATCACAACTGTGCCTCTGGGGGATTACTTTGATGTAGTTAGACAACTATATCATTTTAAAAAAGGAAATAGTAGTAGCACAGCATGATTGAAGCATTTGGTGTCCATGACATAGACACAGAGCCGTCATAGGTACCTTTAGGCAACCATCCTTATCCTTACTTCCTTACTTTTCCTTACTTCCTTATCCTTACTTATATTATAAATCGGAAAGTGAGTTTGTTTGTTTGTTCCGCTTTCACGCCGCAACTACTGAACCGATTGCTTTGAAATTTTGCAGAGGTAAAGTTAGAAGTCTGGATTAAAATAATAATAGGGTACTTTTTATCCCGGAAAAAATTGATATTCCCGAGGGAAAACAAAAGTATTGGTATAGATGGCGCTGTGTGTATTGGTATATGTCACATAGGCTACTTTTCATCCTTTTGTGACGCGAGCGAAGCCGCGGGTAAAAGCTAGTGAGGAATAAAATTAATTTCATTGTCCCAAATAATCACTTTAATTTTATATTATATCGTATAGTATCAATACTGTATAGGGTACAGTTTGTCCCAAACATCAAATCTGTTTTCATAAAGGTTCTGTTTGACAGTAAACTCGGTGGCGACTCGCAAGTAGGTCCTGTTGGCAGGCGTCATGGCTGGCCAGGACAAAGAGGTCAGCTCTCCTGTGTCGCCTCGAGGATTCGGGTCACTGACAACAAAATAATAATTATAGAAAAAAAAACGAGCGTAACACTCACGCTTCGCCAGTAAGTATTGTTTATAAATCTCAATCTTTAAAAACGAGTCTGTAGCCATACATTTAAGTACATTGCATCTAAATTGGCAGACGCACTTGCTATTTGTGGATTATGAATTATTTTGTAGATCAGTGATTCTGAACAGTTAGTTTTCAATTGAATGATTGATTATTAAAATATGTATTGACTCTATAATACGCACCCATATCTAGCGAAGTTATACCAGATCGCCGTCATCTTATCCACCATCTTGGAGTCTTCTGTGTCAGCGACATCTATCGTCGGGAAGCGGTAGCTCAGCGTGAACAAGTAAATCAGATCGTCGTGATGTGCTGCGCCTGAGAAAACAATGTTTAAGTTATTCTTATTTATTTATTAGTACATACATTAAATTAACCAATGACAAATCAATTAAGATTTCAAGTTAAATAAAATCTAGTTAAGTATCCAAAAATGAAGACGAAAAAAATTCACTGCTGAACAAAGGCAAAGTGAATTTCATTGTGAGTTTCCCTTCATCACCTCATTTTTTTATAAACAGATTGGAAATTGTAAATAAGTAGGCCAGAAAGCTTAAAGACGTTGCTACCCGATCCTTAGAGTCAGAGTCCAGATATAGAGTCAATGTTAACTAATGTAACTAACTAACTATATGTAATGGTAGGTGCTTCTAGACTCACGGACTGGTTTCTTGGTGATTGGATCCTCGTAGTGACTGCGATTGCCAACGTACGCGAACTCCGTGTAGTACACCGGGTGAGACGAGTGACGGCACATTAGGTTCGCCATCCTGGAGTGAATATATAATAACAAACAAAAAGTCAAAACCAAAAAGCAAAAAATAACTATTAATAGTACTGATAGGTTACCCACCCACTGATAGGTAAGAAGTCGGTGCCATAAGTTCCATACAAAATTATTCATTAAAACCTTAATAGGTACCTAATTTACAATTTTGTGGACATTAAGTTATATCATTATGATATGAGCTTATGGCACCGACTTCTAACCTATCAGTGGGTGGGTAACCTATCAGTACTATTAATAGTTATTTTTTGCTTTTTGGTTTTGACTTTTTGTTTGTTATTAGTTTTTGGTTTTTGAAGTCGGTTTTTTAAACGCAGTTTTTATTTTATTATTTTACCATTTTAAGTGTAAAGCTACATATACCCGTCTTGTTACTTATAATACACATAGGTGCAAAGTTCTAATCAATACAAATTGTACAAGCTCAAACACAAGGTAGTTACAGTATACCGTTGAGGAGTTCCCTTAACAATTACACTTCTTCATCATCAGACCCTTAATGACAGCCCCACTCTATTTAGGTGTAAAGTCCTCATTAATACAAATTAATCAAGCCCAAACTCAAGGTAGTTACTGTATACCGTTGAGGAGTTCCCTTAACAATTACACTTCTTCATCATCAGACCCTTAATGACAGCCCCACTCTATCTAGGTGTAAAGTCCTCATCAATACAAATTAATCAAGCCCAAACACAAGGTAGTTAATATAAACCGCTGAGGAGTTCCCTCGACTGTCTGTCGACTCCATCATCAGGTCGACTCCAGACCCTTATCTAATTGTAGTGTTTAAAATTCTTAATTGGAAAACATAATAGACGCATTACTCCCCCATAGAATTTTCGAAAGTTCCCCTCGGTTTCCCTAGGATCCCATCATCAGATCCTGACTTCATGGAAATGGGACCATCTCGGGAGTACACCCTTTCAAACAAAACAAAAATTTTTGAAATCGGTCCACAAACGGCGGAGTACTGCGCGAACAAACAAAAAAAAAAAAAAAAAAAACAATCAGCCGAACATAGTACCTCCTCCTTTTTTTGAAGTCGGTAAAAATGTTCGTAGATATGCGAATGAAATCGATCATTAAATTAATTAATACGAATGTATACCAACAGATGGCGCTGGAAGTATGTTTGATGGGTTTTGATAATTTTATTGATGCTCGTATGGCATGGTAGCTCAGAAAAATTAGAGTATGTTGGGTCTAACCAGCAGATAGACTTACTGCATATAATGTAGTGCAGTGTTTTTTAACTAGGTCGTAGTGAATATTATAAGACTTACCTATGTACAGGGAACGCAGTAATGGCATCTCCATACAGTTTCCCCAAGCCTTCAGCCGTCGCCGTGTCATTCCTTAGTGACCTGTCTCCGAAATATGCCTTCCTCAGCGTAGCCAGTCTGCCGCTGGTTTCGTTACGAGGAAGTATGAATGAGATCGGAGCTATTCGGTCCCATTCGCTGTTCATCGTATCGATGAGCGTTTGATTATTTAGGACGGCTAAGAAAACAATAAAACACATTAGGCATAAAGTGCATCAACTCATGACAATCACCACAGGACTGTGGGCTTCACCTCTTACAACTACAGTGATAAGGGTAAGTATGACAAAAGTTCTACTGTACACAAAGAATCACAAGAATATCTCACTAAAAGCTTTCCAGAAGAATTCTCCCGTAGTCTGGCTGACGATGAATGGAACTGCGTGCATCCTGCCCTCTCGTATGGAGAGCATTGGATCTTCTGTCAGGAACCGCTCCTGCCCGAAGTCCGGTTCCACTACCGGACGCCAGAGACTGAGGGGGTCGTAGCCGAACTCCTGAGGGTTAATGATACATGCACTAAAATTAACATGAACACAAGACAAGATAATGAAGAAAAATAAGCATTCACGAGATATGAAAATGTTGCAGTAAGGAATCTAGCTATAAAATGGTGTATTGATTTGATATTGACAAAGACTAAGTGCAGATCAAGTTGAGAAAATGAAAAGACATAAAATTACGAAAGATGCACCTAACAAGGTCGTTTGCGGCCCTATCCCTTAGAAAAAAGCCATAATAGGTAATGTTATGAATCTCACAAAGAATCCCAGAACAGATCCAGCAATTTCTTTCCACGGTTTAGTCTTGAGGCATTCATAGAGCGCTGTGAGGTTGTTTGCAGGACACTTGGAGACTTTCGCCTGTTTGATGGCCAGGTCCACGCGGTTGGGTGGACTCGGCACCTTCGATGTCGGGGACCCACTGAGAGCAATGGCGCGATGAAATAGACCTAGGCAAATAATATGATTTAAGTTTCTAGGAAATGAGAAAGTTACTCATAATAATAATTTGTAAGTTGTTTCCAAAAACGTCACCTAATTGAGTTACATCGCATTCAATTTAGAAAGTCAAGTTAAAACTTGAGAATATTTGTTTGTTTATCCTGCAATGAAGTAGAATATTTGCTTGTTCCAAATCATAGCCAAATATGAAGAAGAATGAGTAAGATTTATGTGCTCTGACCTTTAGACATGGGCGATATCATATGCACCATGACACTGACGGCGCCGGCACTGCAGCCTGAAATGGTGACCAGGTTGGGGTCTCCTCCGAAAGCGGCTATGTTCCTCTGCACCCAGCGAAGAGCTGCCACCTGGTCCTTGAAACCATTGTTACCGGGAGCCAGCTGGTTGCCCAAGGCGAGGAACCCTGGAATACAAAAAAATTGGTACCTCTACACTTAGGTATCGTGTAAAATGCCAATAATAACATTAATAAGTCTGGTGTCATCGATTGTCAATTGATGTTTATTTATGTATGCTGTAAACTGAGCATGAATAATGGAAATGATTAATCCGTAAACCATCTATTAGATGGCGTCACTGGTTTACTCGACGGTATTTATTTATGTATGCCGACTGCCGTATGGTCCATAAAACACGTTGTACCGAGAGAGCCGAGCCTGTAGTTGATGGTGACGAGAACGACATCTCTATCGAGCAGGTAGTGAGGGCCAGCTAGGTCACTGCGGCCTGACATCGAGTAGAACCCGCCGGGGTGGATGAACAAGATCACGGGGAGCGGTTTGGTACTGCGGACAACAAACGATGTATAATATCGCGACACAAAGTTGTTGACTCAAAACAATAGCCCACTAACCGATTTCGGTTAAAATTACAAAATAAATGGCCAGTAGCCAGCCAGGCATTATTACCACTTGCTTAGCTTAGTCGGAGGATTTACCCTTTTCCGAAATAAAATAATTTAGAGAACATCATAATATTATTCGGAACTCATGATAGACGACGTCGCAGTGTGCTGAGGGATATTGATCTAGAAGTTTTCAGAAGAGGCCTATGTTCAACAGGACTTCTTGTTGCTAACTGACGCGATGATAATAATATTCATACACCTATTACAAGGATTACCTGTTGTGGCCACTGCCAGGAGTGTACACGTTGATGGTGAGGCAGTCCTCGTCCACATAGTAGCCGGGGCTGGCGGGCCGCGGACATGATGGACCTTCCTTACTGGCGTCCACCACTTTTTCGTACTGCAGGATGAGGTGCGGGGGCTAAAGCGAAAGATTGGTATTTACTCAGTAGGTATATGCTACAAAATGCTTTGGGTATATACGAATGGACCACCTCAACCACGTGTTACCACGGCCACCTTGCAAAAAACCGGCGTAAAACAATGCTTGCGTTGTATTACGCCGTGTCAGTCATGTTACCGGAGGGAGATCCTATCCCCTTCTCCTAAAAGAGTGTACTATTTGAAAGTCTCTCTGTTGTTGCTGGTGTTCATGGTTGACTCTAAAATTGCTTACCATCATCTGACGGTACCACCATTGTCTGATGGTAAGCAGTTCTATCCATTCGATAAAATCTTACCTGGAACCGCAGTTCCCCGACAGGTGGCTCTGCATATCGTATCCCGCGGTAAGCCTGGAAGCGTCTCCCGCGGCGCGTCTCCATCCAGGAGCCGCGGAACGTGCCCGACACACTGTGCGTTACGGGACCATCTTTACTGCTATTGTTATTAACTGGAGATACTTGCGCGTCTGTAAAATGGTGATCATTATTAAAAAATAGAAAGTAGCATTCATTAAATTCCGGAGCTGTGGACAACCTAACAGGTTACCGGGCCCCTGGCTCCAAGCAGAAGTAGGAACGGAGTTATTAATCAGTAAGAGTGACAGTCTCTCTCGCCTCACCCAAGGCGGGAGAAGTCATTGGATGATGGATGATTATCCCCAAGCTGTCTGTCAAGTGCAGGGATTATGACTGTAATTGTATAAAAAGTCTGGATAATATTTTATTTGCATGTGAACAGACCTGCTGCACCATTTTTCACCACCACTAACAAACACACACACACGACACACAGCCGCATTACACTGCGAGACATTTTGGTCAGCAGTCAGTAGTTCACGCGTCACGCCAGTACGACAGAATACCAGTACTGTCACTGCTAACAGTCGGCACCTACTGGCGAATAACGAATGACGCGCTCCTAGCAAAACTTATTCATTTATTCAGGTAAACATCAACGCATAAGTACTTGACCGATTCTGCAATTTTTTTAAACCCATTCGCGGAACTGTTGTTGGTGATTTCCTTAGGGGTGTGCTGTGCAAAAACAGAAGTGAACTATGAACTGATTACAAATTGGAATTACTCGTGGCTAGCCTTAATTAATTAGTCTTCATATTAGTTACATTTTGCCTGACTCGGGACATACCCAGGCCCTTGTAAGCCACCGCAAATGACGTCTTTTGACTCAAAAACAAAGCAATGGATAATAAATAATGACATTTGCACAAATCTATATTCCTACTGGAAAAAACTCAACTCATTAAGATTGCCAACATGTTCTTTATTCTTACATTTATTAATATAACAAAACGTGAGATGTCCACAAAGAAACCTGAGTAGGTAGGTTACTCATCTTGTACCCACGAGGAAAAGACGAACAATAATAAACATGTTAACTGGGAAACCCAGAACTAGTACTACGGACTCAATCCTTGACTGTTTATAAACACTAACCGGTTTATTTCATTCACTATCAAAATGCTTTTAAATTCATTTCAAGGCAAATTATGATGTATGTAACAGCCAACTGTCACCAGTATTGTTGGTCCCACGTAACAGGGGGCGAGCCATACATCGGGCATAATTTCAGACGTCATTATTATGGGAACCGAATTCTAGATCCCTTGCTCGGCAGTCTGCAGTCACATTGGCGTAAATGTTATCTGTAATCTTTCTTTTTGCATAAATAAACCAGTTTTGTTATGGGCACTAGCTCATATTAATACTAGTTACTAGACACTGATTCGAGAATCGAACCCAGTACAGCCTAGTCTATAATCACACGACCAAGTAAGTAGGTATTATTCTAAAATAAAAGAACGAGAGTAAAAAATCAAAATCAGTTTATTAAGAAATTGTTTATGGTTTCTGTAAATAGTTATTTTTATTTTTCTTTTATTTTCGTTGTTAGCTTTTAAGTTTTTAATTTTGAATGTAAATTATTATGGTATTAAAAAAATAAAATATCCTGGTTATTAACATTTTATATTCTGTAACTGTTAACATTAAGAATTAATGGTACTGCTGGTCAGTACTGTATGGGGTACAAGTCGTCCCAAATCTTGTACCGGTCCTCGAACATGTTCTGTCGCACCTCTAGCTGTTGTCCGCGGCGCAGGTACCTCCTGTCCGCCGCGGTCATGGCGGGCCACGTCAGCTTGCCCAGCTCCGGCGTGTCACCGCGCGGGTTCGGGTCTCTGAGTAAACCAAATCGTTAATTACTGCTTATATGTATTTGTTTTTCTAACAAACCAAATCCCCTAATCTCAAAATCCCAAACAGGCCGGCAATCTACTTGTATAAATATGTTGTCGAAAAAGAAGTAAAAGTCTGTAACAGTATTCACCTTCCCTGGCGTCGCAAGTCATCCAGAGCAGATCCAGACATTTGGTGTTTTTCCATCTTTACAAAAGAAGTACCTACGATGATAGTTTATGTGGTAGTGACTCACCCGTATCTGGCGAAGTTGTACCAGAGCGCCGTCATCTCGTCGACGACGTGCGAGTGCTTGCTGTCCAGCGAGATCACGGGGAACCGGTAGCTCAGCGTGAACAGGTACAGCAGGTCGTCGTGGTGCGCCGCTCCTGTACAATGCACACTGTTACGTTTCAACAATTTGTAATTTTTGCTCACTTGTAACCTTCCTGTGAATGTTGTTAATGGTGAAAGTTTGAGGATGCATGAATGAATAATTATTACCCTATCTATGGTATATACTGATTAAAAAAAACAGAGGGTTACGACTAAACTCCTGTTTTTTTTATTAAAGTACATTCAAATGTCCATTAAATATTGTCGATCAGAAGAGAATTACCTTGTGGTTTGCCGTGAGAGTCCTCATAGTGGGAATTGTTCCCGATGTACGCGAATTCTGAGTACCACACTGGATGCTTGGAGTGACGACACATTAGGTTAGCTAGCCTGAGGATGACATCAACAATGTATTATCAAATATAAAATGGTAGAGATAAACTCTATTAGAATCAAGCGACTGTCGTATTTTAAAATTGAATTTGCACCTTTATCTCAAATGTCATCTCACCTGTGCACCCCAAACCCAACGACGGAGTCTCCATAAAGTTGTCCGAGAGCCTTCTCACTTTGTTTGTCATTAGTCAACTTCTTCCCCTTCAGGTACACCTCTTTAAGTTTCTGTACCGCTGCGGCACGGTTCTTCTTCGGTAGTATGAACGAAATTGGAGCAACCCTCTCCCACTCTTCATTCATTGTCTTCAAAAGCGTTTCGTTTTGTAAGACCGCTAGAAACAGTATAGTTAAGGCAATGGTATAAATTCTTTAATTCACACTCGACGTGGTGTATATACGTGTGTGTGTGTGTGTCTGCTAACTATGAATACTTACGGAATGCTTTCCAGAAAAACTCGTCAGTAGTCTGGCTCACGATGAGGGGTACCGTGTGCATTTTACCTTCTTTAATGGCAACTAATGGATTGATAGGGAGGTATCGCTCCTGCCCAAAATCTGGCTCTACTACTGGACCCCAAAGACCCACTGGGTCACCTTCACCAAACTCCTGCAACGACACATTAATTTATTTCTGGGTACTTTGTTACATTTTTCAAAAGTTCTTTAAGTAACGTACCCAGAATTTAGGCAGAGAATCTCCGAGCTCCTTCCAAGGCTTGGTCATGAGACAGTCGACGATGACGGACGAGTTGTCTGTCGGGCAGTTGAGGATCTGTGCCTGGCGTACTGCGAGGTGTCGCTGATGAGTTATAGCTTCCACTTCTTTGCTCACAGGAGACGCACTCATTGCTATACCGCGATGGAAGAGACCTAAAAACATTATTTTATTTAATGTACAAAGAACCTTCACCCGGATAATGCACGCAACATATTCTTTTTCTGCAAGAAGTAGATTTTTTTAAGATATTTCTATCGCAAGACAGCACTGATTACCTTTCGCCATGGGCGAGATCATATGCAAGATGACACTGATGGAGCCGGCACTGCAGCCTGTGATCGTGACGAGGTTCGGGTCACCGCCGAACGCTGCAATGTTCCTCTGCACCCACTTGAGGGCAGCTACTTGGTCTTTCATGCCGTTGTTACCGGGAGCGTAAGCATCACCAGTACTCATGAAACCTAGACAAATTAAACTTAGTAAAATCCATGATTGACAAATAAGGAGGAACAAACAAATATAATTAATTTAGGGGTTCGCTGAATACCTAAAGATCCAATCCTGTAGTTGATGGTAACGAGGACAACATCTCTATCCAGCAGGTAGTGAGGACCGGCCAAATCACTACGACCTGTCATCGCGTAGAACCCGCCGGGGTGGATGAAGAAGATCACGGGGAGCGGTTTGGTGCTAGAAAGAAAGAGAAAATATGATTGTACAAATAGTTCTAGAAGAGAAGAGAATCAAAGTTATTGACATAACAATCTCTTAAATTAGCAAGCCGAAGTGGTTAGCCACTTTTATTATAGAATCGATAACCGTTCCGACTGGAATAAAGTGTTCGTTTCTTTAGGCGCTGAGCGCTTCCCACCTAAGTGTAGTTAACTAGATACGATGCAAATAGTGAAGATCGAGCTTGGTAGCGTGCGTGCTACTGTGTGTGTATATGTTTTACCTGTTGAGTATCGGCGTGTAGACGTTGACAGTGAGGCAGTCCTCGGCAACGTAGTAGGTGGGAGGCGCCGGCAGAGGACAGGCTGGGCCCTCCTCGCTCGCGTCCACTACACCTTCGTACTGCAACTTCAACTTCGGTGGCTGCACACACACACAGACACACACAAAATGAATTACTTAGACTGCGTGGTTGCAAAGGAAGAAGAGAGAGACCATAGAAATATTTACTGGCCAGCTAAACGTGGAGATTTTGACACGTAAGCCCCTAGAGGCCTCTAGAAAGGGTCTACAGTCTAGCAGTGGACTCTTACGTGCTAGATTATGCATTATATGCGGTTGTTACCTGGAACCTCAGTGCTCCGACAGGTGGCTCTGCATATCGTATTCCGCGGTAGGCCTGGAAGCGTCTCCCGCGGCGGGTCTCCATCCACGAGCCGCGGAACGTGCCCGACACGCTGTGCGTCAGTGGCGCGGCCGGCTTCACTTCTGCTGACTCTATAAGGATATAATATGGTGTCAAACAATACCTAGTTAATGCTTGTTTTGGAAACAAAACAAGTGATAGTATTCACGCCACAATCTCCTAAAGGCCGACAACACACTTGTAACTCCGCTAATGTTGTGGGTGTCCACGGATCATAGAATCTGCTGATGTGCTTCTGTTGCCACCTCTTAAATAGCCTAGCATGTGTGCAAGCAATTTGCTTTAAAAAGAGAAATATTTTTTTTTCAATTTCTAGTTGTTTCGATAAAACAGATACAAACTGTCTATATAACTAACTAACCTGTATCATGTTTGTGTTGGTGTGCGTGCACCGTGCACACACACAACGCACACAGCAGCGCGTACAACATTGTGTGTCTCGCTCGTTGGACACAGAGGGCACGACTGTGCCGCCAGCAGGAAAACCTTTGCTTTTATACTAATACGACACGTGAAGTATTCACCGTGGTGTAGACGGAATATTCTGCAAGTTTAGTACTGGACTATAGCTTCTGCTAGCGGCTTCGGTCGTGTGTCAAATAGCTTTTGTAAAATTTTTAATAGAATAGAATCACCTGATGGTTCGCAATCAGCGCCATCAATAGACAACTCCAACACCGAGGAAGTTACAAAAGCATGGGCGGCTTTTTAGGGATAGGGAATGGGATAAACCTCCCTTCGGTATAACCTTACTCACACGTGTGAATACAACGTAAGCGGTGGTTTACGCCGGTTTCCGGTGAGGCCGTGGTACCATTCCGGTGGATTCGGTATTCGTGCTGCGTCGGCTTTTTTTAAGAGGGGAAAATCATAGAATCATTCTCCCACCTGGCTGAGGCGGAAGGGAGTGTCTGATTATTACTGACTAAAAACCACCCCGTTCCGACTCCTGTGCGTCGAGCCGGAGCCCCGGCAACCCGTTTAGTCCTCCGCGCCTCCGTATCGGCATCAGCCCTTCCCCATCCGTGGTCTGATGGCTCTTAGAGGCGCGCGCGGAGCGTGACGCGCCGCACGCTCAGGGTGCTGCTTCGGCTTAGATTTTCCTCTTGAAAGTACTGAACTAATATAAATACAGACCTGATACTAGTTTTTTGAGATGAAATAATCTTACATTAAGGAAAAAGTAAGTACAACCTATAACTTCCTACCTACTAGATACATTAAGGAAACCACAACCGCGGTCCTGCGCGTGCAGGCCGCCTGCTGGTGACACATTCGAATTAGATGAGTCGCGGGGAAACCACTACACGCCACGAACTCATCACAATATGACGGACATAATCAAAAGCCAAGACCTACAGTCCCACACACTTGTGGTCGTCGCGCCGAACAAAAGACTCCCTCTTTTCAAAAAACAGGTATAGAAATACAAAATTCCAGTTTACTACAACTGTAACTGTTGAGCTACTCACTACTAGCACAATATAAAAAATATACAGCAGGACGACGCCTTTGATCTCGTGTGAAATGCCGACATAGTCTAGTCTAGACAGTAACGCATCGGCCAGGGTTGTCAAAAATATGAGCTTATGGCACCGACTAGAAGTCGGTCAGTGGGTGAGTAACTCATCAGTACTAATATAGAGTTATTTTTTTGCTTTTTAGTTTCACTTTTTATTTGTTTTTAGTTTTTAGGTTTTTTGAGAAGTTAGTTTTTTAAACGCAGTTTTTATTTTTAATTTTGTCATTTTTAGTTTAAAGCTACATAGACCCGTTTTGCCACTTATAATCCGCATTACAGGTACAATGTTCAAATCAATACAAATTATACAAACCTAAACACAAGGTAGTTACTGTACACCGTACCCTCGAAAACCATGAAAACGACACCCATGACGATAAATTAGTGCAGCGGCCATCTTGGCTTTACATTTTGACAGCACCATCAATTTCACCACCCATAAAAACCATGAAAACGACACCCATGCAACGGTAAACATACTTAAAAAGAAACAATCATTCGAACATAGTGCCTCCTCTTTTATTTGAAGTCCGCAAAAACAAACGCGCGTTAGCCCTGAATAATATATCCCGAGCTACTAACATTGTCTTGTTCGCGGCTCGGGATCGGCCTACCCGCGTCTCGCCCCTCACCCCCGCACGATTGCCCTGTAAGGACGTCTTCGTTGGACGACTGTATACAGTCGTCCAACGAAGACATCAGTCATCAGACATCAGTAGCACAGTCTATAGACTGTGCTACTAATAACATCCCACCGTTTTCCCTAGAGTGGGGTACCTACGTGTAGCAGAGCGAGCACGTTTTCATTCTAATGTTGACAATCTAGTTTCCTTATGACATCGAGCATTTCTTTCTTTATTGGAATAAAGAGTTTCCTTTTTCTTGTATAGAAGCCACAGAAATATTAAAAGAAGCACTATTTTTATGGATTGTTAGTATGCATATGTGAGCACCAGTTAGAAAATAAGATCTTTTATTTTTATTTTAGTAAGTTTTGTAGTTAATATAATGCGTCAAGCGAGTCTTCGCATTGTTTTCACATATACGTCCCAGTATTAAAATATGTATCAGAAACATTGTAGAACATACTTTTTTAAAAAGAGTAACGAATGGAGTTTCTTCCTCGTTCTTCTCCATTCGAATCTATACATTTTAGAATGAGCACCTTCACCTAGCTTCACTGACGGACTTACTGACAGACTGGCGGAATCGACTCATACGACGTGAGGACGTGTTATCACTTCGGTCGCGCCGGCCCATTCGACATCGTAATTATCGTAATCGAAATATTTTTAATTTTGTATGAAGATTTGACATTTGGGTTGATTAAATAAATAAAAAAGTTTTATTGGTAAAATGTTTTTATTTTGTAATTTTATTGTACTAACTACATGTTTAGTTTTGGTACAGTCATACATCATCGCACATGCCTCAATGATACCTTATACAATGCTCCCCCGCCACACGTTTGTGTTAACCTTGGGAACAATACCGGGACCAATATTGGAGCCATCTATTTACAAGTCTGATAATCAAGAGGGAACAGTTCCTCCCAGACCTTGAACCTCTCTTCGAAGAGGTTGCTTTGTACTGAGAAGGGACTGTCGACACGGAGGTATTTCCTCGCATCTGGTTTGAACTGCGGCCATGACATGTCTGCTAGCTCCGGAGTGTCGCCCCTGTCGTTCGGGTCCCTGTAGTCGTGAATATAATAATTATGTTAGTAATTTGTAACACTAGGTGGCATGACGATCGAAATGTATAATAATAAAGTTCACCATCTCGTGAATTTCGTTAACATTAAAGTCTAACTATTTGAACCAAATGACAAATAAAGACGTGATATGTGGTCTTTCGAACTTCTTCTCTCACACCTTGTCAAACTAATAAACTATACATGGGCACTTTTACATCAAAATATCTCATTTAAAGCATACATCTGAAGAAAGAGCAAGAAACAAATCCATTAGTCGCTTAAGCATTTGACTGGCGACCAAAAACTGTTGGCCCTGAGGATAAATCCTCCGCTATCACTGTACTTACTGTTAATTTCCTTAAAAATCTATGTAAAGGAAAATGCGAACTGACCCATGTCTAGCGAAATTGTAGAATATTGCAGTCATCTTGTCCACCATCTTGGAGTCCTTGCTGTCGGACGGCGGGATGGATGGGAAGCTGTAGCTCACGTTGAACAGGTACAGCAGGTCGTCGTGGTGGGCCGCGGCTACATGACATACAAACATGAAAATATGGTAACAAGCAAATCGGGATTTGGACGATGAGGAAACTTCGGAAATGTAGACATATTGTAGGAAAAAGGCGATTTTCCTTTAACAACCTATTTTATCGTCTCTCTGCTGAAAGCGTAATTTGATAAAAATAAAAATGCTTCATGCACCCAAAATAGTGAAAACTATGCAAGGAGGTGGACTTAGACTGTAGCTGTACAGCTGTCCTTTCACTATTCATTCTATTGAACTCAGGATCTCACAATAAATCGTAAATTCTGTAGAGTATATCCTGGCAATGAGCACTAGGTGCGCTAGAGGCTCATAAACACCATTGCGTGACAAACGATGCGACCACTGTCACACAGTTCACTGCACTATATACCCCGAGCGAGCAACAAGTTGAGTTACGTCGTCAAATAATTTAAACTAGTATTTATTAGGTAGCAGGTAATGTTTAAAACAAATAATAGGTAGTTACCGATCGGTCGCTTGGTGTCGGGGTCGACGTAGTGGCTGCTGTTCCCGATGTACCCGAACTCGTAGTAGTACACCGGCCGCGGGGACTGCCGCGCTGCCAGGTTCACCAGCCTAGTGTACACATTAACGCGTAAATATTGATGACATGTCCTCTTCTTTACATAATTTAAGAACTATAGATACCGTTCTTGGGTTATAAATCGATGAACATCACAAAGAAGTTTCCCTTAAAGGGGACTTATCTCAATGTTTTCCTTGTATGGAAGCTTTGATTTTCTGTTTTGCAAAATCCAAGTTAACATTACATAATTTCGTGCTTAGAAGTAAACAACTCCCAACATCAAAACACTAGAAGTGAAAACACTAAAGTTTATTTAACAAAATAACTTTCTTTGTCCCTCGTTCACTGACCTGTGAGCTCCGAACCCAATGATAGCGTCAGAGTAAAGTTTCCCGAAGCCATCAGCAGTGGCGGTGTCATTGTTTATGTCTTTCCCTCCGAGGTACGCATGCTTCAGTCGGTTGGCGGCGGCGGTGATGCTGGAGTTGTCTCCAGCGCCGGACAGGTACAGCGCTATCTTGGCTAATCCAGGCCAGTCCGCGCGCCAGTTATCGAACGCTTTCGGGTTCCGAAGGACATCTGTAATTGATCCGGGAACTGAGAAATTTTACTGGGGAACTCTTAGTCTCTAAGACAGATATTGAGTGACTGAAGTTGTGTGAGCTATATGATCGGTATGATAGTTCCAGGAACGGACCGAGTGCCTTCCAGAAGAACTCGTCTTGTGTCTGGCTGACGATGTACGGCAGGCGCTGCAGCTGCCCCGCACACACGGCCGCCAGCGGCTGCTGCGGCAGGAACATCTCCTGCCCGAAGTCCTGCTCATGTATCGGCACCCACAGCAGTACTGGATCGTAGCCGAAGTCCTAGACAGACAGACAGATCATAATTCCGAATAAAATACGTTTCAGGGATTGGGGAGATTGGGGAAGGGGAAGGGGGTAATTGGGCCTCCGGTAACCTCACTCACACGACGAAACACAACACAAGCGGTTCTCGCGTCAGTTTTCTATGAGGCCGTGGTATCACTCCGGTCGAGCCGGCCCATTGGTGCCGAAGCATGGCTCTCCCACACTTACAAACAGATATTGTTGCACCACTTACAAACATCTTATCCAAAGAATCGCCCAGTTCCTTGGATGTTTTAGTCTTGAGGCAGTCGATGATAGCCTTTGAAGAGTCAGTAGGGCATTGCAGCAGCTTTGCTTGTCTCTCCGCTAGGTGGCGTTGGTGGCGAGGGATCACTATTTGAGATATTGGGGAGCCACTCATTGAAATGGCGCGGTGGAACAAACCTGCAAAAACAAATGTCTTAGAAGGAGGTGCAGCTTTAATTACGCCAGGTTAACTACATTGTGCAGCTCAGAGACCTTGACATAAAATGAATGATATTATCCGAAATCGTGGAACGTGAAACAAGTGGAGCAAGTAATGTTGCGGCGTTAATTTATTGTTTTTTTTATATTTTTTTTTATGGGTGTGTTTACAAACATACAAGTTCACATACACAATGATACCCCGACACGAAACAACAATTTGTGGAATTAGGTACGGGCGGCGCCGGGCGCAGGTTGCCTACCATGAGATACATCTGCTCATTTGTTGTCTTCAAATAACATGTGACTTACCTTTGGACATGGGGGAGATCATATGCAACATGACACTGAAGGATCCAGCGCTGTACCCTGAGATAGTGACCAGGTTGGGGTCTCCTCCGAAGGCGGCGATGTTCCTCTGCACCCAGCGGAGAGCTGCCACCTGGTCCTTAAAACCATTGTTACCGGGAGCGTACTTGTCTCCTGTGCTTAAGAAACCTGTAACAGAAAGAGCATTATTATATTTACTACAATAAAGGTTACGGCTCGTCTGATGGTAAGCACGTTCAGTATATAAGTAATGATATTCCAATGTGTAACACTCAATTCTCGTCAATTACCCATCAAAGTATTATATAGTACTAGCTTTTACCCGCGGCTTTGCTCGCGTCACAAAAGAATAAAAAGTAGCCTATGTGACATATACCAATACACACAGCGCCATCTATACCAATACTTTTGTTTTTCCTCGGGAACATCAATTTTTTCCGGGTTAAAAAGTATCTTATTATTTAATTCGGACTTCTAACTTTACATCTGCAAAAATTCAAAGCAATCGGTTGAGTAGTTACGGCGTGATGGTGGAACAAACAAACAAACTCACTTTCAGATTTATAATATTAGTAAGGATTATAGATCCCGCCAATACGTGTAATAGAGATTAGACAATTAATGTCATACGACGAGCACAACTTCAGACTATTAACCGTTACGTGCAACGAGAAAAACAATGCAGAACAATGTCTACATTGTTTTATGATAGAGACTAATTACTTTATGAATTGTTGTTTGACTTGTTCGCTTAATTAGTCATTAATTGATTGATTCAATTATCCCCGTCCTGTATATAAATGTGTCTATATCAATATGTTAATCACATCATCATCATCATCATCATCAACAGCCGGAAGACGTCCACTGCTGGACAAAGGCCTCCCCCTTAGCCCTCCACGTCGAACGACAACTCGCCACCCGCATCCACTGGCTCCCCGCAACTCTGGCGATGTCGTCGGTCCACCTAGCGGGAGGTCTGCCCACGCTTCATCAATTAATCACATCACTAAATGAAACTATTTCTTCTTGAACTGCTGCAGATCCCGTACGTTGTGTTCCTTCATCACACTGACTCACCGAGTGATCCGAGCCTGTAGTTGATGGTGACGAGCACGAGGTCTCGGTCCAGCAGGTGCTGCGGCCCGGCCACGTCACTGCGCCCCGACACCGAGTAGAACCCGCCCGCGTGCATGAACACCACCACTGGCAGGGGCTTCTTGCTGGAACACGTCAGGTAAATATAGCATCACCACGAGTCCCAAAAGTAATATATCGTAATGGCAACACGCTTGTAACTTCTCTGGTGTTGCGGGTGTCCATGTGCGACGCCGATAGCTCACCATCACCATCGTACATAATATGTCTGCTCGTTTGCCGTACACTGGCCATAATTTATTTATTTATTTATTTATTTAAACAGACTTCGTTTATTAATTAAAGACTTCGTACTACTTCTGAAGAAAACCGATATTTAACTGTATTAAAAGAAGTTACTCACGATTGGTGGTCAGGAGTGTACACGTTGAGGCGGAGACAGTCCTCGTGTACTGGGTAATTGTTAAAGGTGGGCTGCGGGCAGGCGGGCCCGTCCTGCGAGCCGTCCACCTCACTCGTGTAGTTCTCGATCAACTGCGGGGGCTGGTGGGAGCAAGAGAGAGAGAGTAAAAGTACAAGCCATGCAAAGGGACCGAGGGAAACAAATATACAATCTAAGTATTGTAACGACTTTCTTAGTTAAAAAGTTTATTACGTACCTGGAAGCGCAGTTCCCCAACGGGTGGCTCAGCGTATCGGATGCCTCGGTACGCCTCGAACTGTCTCCCGCGTCGTGACGACATCCACGAGCCGCGGAACTGACCGGACACACTGCGGACTACTGGAGCCGCTGGTGTAGACGCTGCTGTATGAACCCACACAATAACGTCATTAAATTTAAACACACGACTTAAGATTCGACAATACCTCTACTAGTTTCAAAGGCACACTGGGACCCACGACCTTTATAATTTAATTTCCCAGTGTATTATTAAAACTTCGATTTTTAATTGAAACTTAAGCTTCGACTTTGAATGTTTTGATATTGATTTCTACTTGTGTACTGTTTACTGAGTCACAATTTAACCACAGAACAAACCTTAACTTGGGTAGGTTTATACCAGTACCAGTACTTGTAGTGGTAGTACTTAAACATGAATTTAGAAAAATATCAGGATCAATAACATCAAAACCACCCAAAAACTTCTAAGAGCGTGTCTATTCACCTGTCGAACGATCAAGGTCATGATGAACATGGTGGTGATGGTTCGCGGCGACGGCCAGCGCGCCACACACCAACACTACTGCCGCCAGCATCCTCACGCCGCCGACACTCCACTGCAGCCCGCGACACATGCCTCAGCCTATTTATTTACTTCTCGTTACACCTTACTTGGAATTATTGCGATTATTATTATTGTCTACAGTTTTCCTTGTTTTGTGGACTTACTCATGTGTTAAAGGACCTGCTCTTGTGTGTAACACACAGTATTTTGTTTATTTTTGTCCTATATCCACTTGGAGGAACTCGATCCTTCTAGCTATAATTTGGTCCTCGGGTATAAGTTATTAAACAATAATTTATGTTATGATATTCAATTTAGCGTTTTATTCACAGAAATGTTAAAAACTATGGCTTTATTAAACTGCGCTTGCGGCTTGTCACTCGTTAATTTACAAAAACTTCCTGTTGAATTAATCTGTCTATCTATTATAAAAACCACATAAAAAATCATTGCGTAAATATGCTGCGTAGTTTTAAAGATATCTGAACGAGTCTCACTCATCCACATGAGTTTCGTAGCGCAGTATAAAAGATTAATTCCGCCATCTAGCGACAAGTACTAGAACTTTATAAACAATTTAATCTAAAACTTCAATAAATTGAAATGCTCTTTATAATATACACATTGTAGTGGAATTTATCGTTTATTGTTATGGATGTTGTTGAAATAAATAAATATTTTCAAGTAAGTATGGAGTTGTTCGATGTTTTCAAGTAAAATATCTAAACCCAAGCGGTCACCGGAGACCGCTTTCCACTAACTATATTATAGACCTTATTTCCGAGGTTTAGAGACTTAAGTAGTTTAGAGTAATAAACAAATTTAGGGATGATATTTGAACAGAAAGATGAACACTCAGTTGTTTTGTCTAGTCGTTTAAAGCGCCTTTTTTATCAATAAACTTATATTGTCGCCTCAGATGATTGACTAATATTTCCCTAGTTCGTGTAGAAACTATGAATGTACGCTTAAGGAAAATTGTGGGCGGGTATTCCCGAGCTGAGAATGTAAGACAATTGTATCTTCATACGTAGGTATATAGTAAATAGGTATTCATATTATCACTCGCTGCTCAGCTACCATTGATCATAGCGATATGTTTTATGGTGTTAACCTTCTTTGATCCGTGAAGGCCCGGACGACGCCCGCTTCTAACGCATGAAACCTACCAAACGCGAATACAAAGTAACTATTTCAAGTTATGTATATGTTACCGGCCAAACCCGATTTCAGGAAAAACTAGTTTTGTCTAGGCTAAACTAGTTCTTCCTATACGCGTTAGGATGAACTAGTATAACCTAGTTCAAACTAATTTGTCCTAAGCCCGATAGGATAAACCAGTTTAGGCTAGGACAAACTAGTTGAACCTGATATAAATAGGCGCACTCTAGGATAAACTGGTATGGCCTAGTCTAAACATTCTAATATAGGTATCAAGAAAGTCAAAATAAATAGATAAATTAAATTAAATACTCCGTAATTGGTAAAATAATCATTTTTATTAAACTATAATGATTCGTCGTTAAAACTTATGGTTAATTGGTAATACAAACTATAACAAATAATAAGTGTTTTTTAAAAGAAGCAATAATTATTTAAAGGTTATTAATTTAAAATCATAATGTTTCGATGCTACAAGTTGTAGATAATAATTGGCAATACAAACAATCATACTATAACTGACAATAGGTACTGTTTATTTATCACATAACATCACGCCTTTTACCCCCGAAGGGGTAGGCAGAGGTGCACATTATGCCACTGAACAATGTAACATCCACTTTTAACTATTTATGTTACGAGTCCCATGTAACAGGCCTATTGCCATATACCGGGCATAATTCCAGACTCCGTGCTACTACTGATATTTTGTTTTTAAAAACCTAATAAGTAATACTATGCCCGATCCGGGAATCGAACCCGAGACCCCTTGCCCGGCAGTCGCATTTGCTACCACTTGGCTAACGAGGCAGTCACCCTGTTTTTTAATAAACGCAATAATCATACTACCACTACGCCATACCAGTGTATCCTAGAATGTGCGTATTTATATCAGGATCAACTAGTTTGTCCTAGCCTAAACTGGTTTATCCTATCGGGCTTAGGACAAATTAGTTTGAACTAGGCTATACTAGTTCATCCTAACGCGTATAGGAAGAACTAGTTTGGCCTAGGCAAAACTAGTTTGTCCTGAAATCGGGTTTGGCCGGTAACATATACATACCTATACTCTCTAAAATGGTTGAAAATACTTGAACGAAAAAAAATATAAAAAAATCGCCGAATTGAGCAAGCGTAGTGAAACCTTCTCCATCTGAGAAGAGGAATTTGCTCAGCAATGGGGACGTATATGCTGTTGGGTTGGTGATTATAATGATAATTACGAATATCTGTACGATATCTGAAGATGACACATATAGATACTTCCTAGTCATCCTGCTAAATGACAGTCGCGTGACGTAGGATGCGGTCGCCTGACCCTGACAATGTTTCCCAGGGACAATCTTTTATGCAATCGTTACTATACTCCGTAGCGACCTACTAAAGTTAATGTATATTCTGGTATATAGTTAACTCGCGATCCGCCCGGCTTCGCACGGGTGCAATATGCATGTGTTATACATATAAACATTCCTTAAGAATCACTCTATCTATTATAATAAACTACATCGAAATCCGTTGCGTAGTTTTAAAGATCTAAACATACATAGGGACAGACAGACGGCGGATAGCGATTTGGTTTTATACTATGTAGTGATTTTAGAAACTATAATAAAAATAAAACCAGATTAAAAACAAGTAAATCGTTGGTCACATCATCGCATACCAACATGCGGTATTGGTTTGGCCTACAATGAATGAAAAAATGTTATTAGTTTTCCAGGTTGTGTGTACTGTAGAGAGTAGTTATAGAAGTGGAACCTGACTAAAGATAGACTGTATTTATAATTTAATATCAGCCAGTAAATGTTCTGTCGGAAAAGCGAGTTTTTCTCAGCTATCAACTAGTTACGGCGTCTGGCGACTGTTTGGCCTACAAGAACCTTTCATTGAGTGATCGACTTCATTACAGCCGCGCCGGCAAATATCCATTTGAACTGCACAGAGCTGTTATCGACTCGGATGTATAAAGCTTCAGGTGTGACAAATTCAGTTATACAAAAGTTACTAATTACGGACTTTTCAGATTTTTTAATATTGAGAAGGTACTCATGCGGTTAAACGAGTAGGACCAAAAATTGTTCCTTGGGGCATTCCTTATACCAATCTCTCCGTTCTTTATTTATCTTAGTTAAGTGTACCTTACGTCTGAGATAGGTACCAAAGTTTAATTTTACTTTAAACAGACATATTGCCACATAAATCAGTTCCCCAATTATGGTAATATTTTAGTAGTTATGTGCGGTAACACTTGCTCCACCTCTGTCAAACGCAGCACAGAGTTTAACAAACAGCAGTAACTTTAGTTTACATCATAATTACCTATATCCTGATGACTGATTTTACTGATAAATTAATAATGTCAACCGTTGTCCAAGCCTCAGATTTTAAAAGAGACTCAGATCAAATGGTGACTTTACAAATGTAGTGATAATAAAGCAATGACGCGCAGTGTCAGCTCTGTATGGTGTCGAGTCTCGCAGCAGTTTCAATTTCCCGTTCCCTCGCATGTCCCGCTAGCAGCGCCGCGCGGCCGCGCCAGTGTCCCCGGAGAGCCGGCCCAGCACCACACCGCGGCACACACTCACAAACTATCTCTAAAGTTGTCCGCGACCGCACGCAGGCGCCGCTCGAAAGTTCTCGTCGAATATTTTTATTTTACTCAAAACTTTTTCCTCAATTTATTTTTCCGATTGTACGTTACTAAATGTTGAGGTGAACTGTGCTCGTCCTGTGTTGTGGTTCCATTGCTTCAGTTTCTGCGTGCACCATGACGCGACATACCCTCATACTTTTGGTAAGTGAGATTTTTAATCCAAATATTTTAGCCCTAAAAATTAAGCATACAAACATATTTTATCACGTACTTTTTTATGAAATATTGTTGCAACGTCAAGCATTTTACAATTAATGTGCAGTCATTGTAATTTATTATGGAAAGTTGTTCGATAAAATATAATGAGAGATTACAATAACTAATTATTTCTTCGAAAGAAATTAAACGGCATTGAAAGCAGCGACGTTGAATGCAGGCACGGTGATGTGTGCCGGTGCCGCGGCCGGTAGAAAGCGTCCGCAGCGGCCGTCGAATAGTATTCGAGAGAAATTGTGCGATTACAAAAGGAACAGCGCGAATAATATCATCTTAAACGTCTCAGCGCGGATGATACACGGAGGTACTTGTACCGTCATTGGCGAGTTGGTTCTATGCCGCCTGCACGTTGTTGCATAGTTGCATACTTCTTAATAATTCTATACTAAGTAAGCACATTACAAATGTATTACCCGGGTAAAAAAGCTCAGTAATTAAACTGTGTCTGGAATGAAATCCTTCAATCAGTATATACAAAGTTGAATATACTGTTTGCACTGGTTCAATGCATCTATCTGCCTTCAGCTAGACTCAGGAATAATAGGAATAAAATGTTTGTGTTCACACAAACGCTTATGTTATTGCCAACATACCTGTTGCTTGTGGGCTTCAGGCGAGTGCCTGAAAGTGAAGTGAAGTGATGACTTTCATTCGAATAAGTTTGACTAACCAAAAATCTAAAAGATTTACTCAATTCGAATTCCAGTGGTAAACCAAGTGATTAGATTTTAGCAGAAACGTTTCAGAGTTTAGTTTTCTAACATCAACCCACGGAACAATGTTCCAAGTGCTAATTGAATCCACTGCTAAATCTCGTTAATGTAAAGTTTGGCAGCATCATTATCGTGAATGCACCAAGTCCTCATAATTACTACCTAGCGCAGTATCTCATCAATTAGTTATACATTGGCGTGCTCTGAGTGTCATCGATATCCTTTCAATGGACCTCAGCCTTCTTTTGATGTCGGCTGATGGATGACAATATCCGTGATTGTCCATTACATTATAGGTATGTCTCGGCTAAATCATGTTTCAAACATTATGGACCAGATCGCTGTTCATCAGAACAATATGAGGTCATTACATTAAGTCGTCCAGCAGTAAAGCTGCGGCTCGTCTCGGTCAGTAGAGCCCTACGAACGGTAAACAACATAAACGTATGTAAATCAGCTGCTTGTTTTCGAGGACGTTACCATCACACAAACAGAACTTTCTCCCAGCGACCGCGACCGCTGCACTGCGCCTGCGTACCGACCGACGCGACGCATCTCTCTACTCACTTCCACTTTTTGAAACAGGTTCACGTTGTGTACAACGTCGATTTGAACATTTGGACATAATTATTTGGTACAGACATTACTGTAATGAAGTGGTCAGATATACATAATGCAGATATACATAACTGTCTCTAGTTCATGAGATGTGTCGCTGGAGCTAGGGTTTCATATTAATCACGAGCACACTGACTGGCTGTATGCTGGCGGGATGGCTGGCTGGCGAGCCCAGATACACATAGCGGTTTGGTCTAGAGAGAAGGTCAGTAAATACCGCAAAATTGGTAGATTTGGACAAGCCACAACATGTGCTACTATGAAGAATGTTAGAATGCGAGCGTGTCGAGTCGATACCATATCGATAATCGATACGCATCCGATGTGGTCCCGTTACACTGGAATATTTCACGAGTCGCGGCGTGTAGCACGCTGCACGCCTAGCACGGAGCACGGAGCTGCACGGGCACTATGCATTGTGTTTTGTCTTTGAACCGACGCTCGCGATGCTCTAAAAACCCACTAAACTTGGAAGAAACATTTATTTTCATTCACAATTCGATCTACTTTATACGCTGACATTGTATCAGCACGCAAACTTTTTATGGCTTAATATAATAAGCTAGTAAATAATGTGGTCGCCTCGTTTCTGTTACATTCCACAGAAATGGTGAACGTGGTGATACCGTTCGAACGACTAAATATATTAAATTAGAATTTCAAATCATTTATGAGGATAACACAAATGTTTGTGGATCGACTTCTTAACAGTTCTTTGAGTGTTTTCTGTGTCGTGAACTCAAGACACGGCGATTAGTAATATAATGACCACGGGGCTGCCCACACAGACGTTTTCAGAGGATACGACATGTCCCGTTATGCTTTCTCTGGTCACTTAAATGGACGACTCCTAAATAGTCTTTAAGAATTGAGGTCACGCCTAAACTGAGATTAATGAGTAAAAGCTGTACCTGTGCCTTAAACATTTTTTCTGTAGGTAATTAATTTGTGGCACACACAGCAAATTAAGGGCACGTTCGCAATCAGCACGCATTGTGAATTTGCGAAACTATCTGTCATGTACGCATAATGACGCCTGGCTTACGACTCGACCGAGGATGTGATAAATGGTACTTGTAGTTACCGAGTCACGAGTCTATACTAATGGTGCTAATGTTGCCACTGACCAGAGGTCATTCCCCGCGACAATCTGTACCTCAGTGTTGACTGGTGTTGACAACAACCGTTTCATGTACTTGCACTACAATCTGGACCTGGAACCCAAAATTCATTTTATTTTCCAGCATCTGATTGTATTCGTATGACGATATTTGAGTAAGAAGACATTAGTATTTGAAGTGGTGTTGCATCAGTGGGTCGTCAGTTCGTCACTCGTCATACGTGGCCATTAAGTCCACTTTCTAACAGTGTTGTGGTCAGTGATGACGTCACGAGCCCCGTTGCCGAGAAGTCATGACCTTCACCCAGTGGCCGGCACTCCGCGGGTCAATGGCTCGTCACTCGACCCGCGACGCCGGCGCCCGCCGCTGCCGCATTCCTTTACATTTGAGGTGATTTCATCCACATTTGACATAGTTTCTCATATTCGTACGTTATGTCCACCTGTAGTCAGTGATGTGTAGCCAATTCCCTAGTTTGTGAAAGGTGTAGTTTTCTCTCAAAAAAGTTTCCACGCCGTTTATTACTTTCTCTGAGATGACAACAAAATAGAGCGTGATGATGGATACAAAAGAACAAAACGATCAGAGCAGCGAGCGAGCCCTACCGACTGAGCAGTAGTGAGCACGCGACCACGTTGTGCAACTCACTCGTGAAACTACTGCTGCAAGATAGCTTGGATAGCCATTGGTGTGTCAGCGACATCGTGAAGTGGACACTGAACGACATCTTGCAATGGCTGTTAGCATATCAATTGTTCCTGCGACCATACTGATTGATTCTGTTGGAATGTCAACGTCTTTTCCTTTGGTTCCATTGAAAGTTTGAAGTCAGTGGGTACTGAAACAGATTCGTCTAATACGTACCTACATCTGTAATTATTTATTTTATAAATGAAGTGATTGTTAACAGCTGTATGCTTTCCATAACTTACTAAATGTGACCACAATGTCAGATCTATTCTCCGATTTTTTGACTTACTGACATCAACATCATCGTCATTGTACTGAAAAATTACCAGCAAAAAGTTCAATAACAAATTTTTTATTCAAATTTCGCTTTTATTTCGTACCGAGAGAAAGTAGAAGTTAATGTGTTGTATATCTGGTACATCAGTGCCCACTGCCAGTCACTACTGCTGCACTTCACAGTACCTACAAGTAATATAAAACCCATTGTCATAAGGAGAGAGTTAAATAGTAGGTATTCGTAGTCTTGGCAATATTCTGTTCGGGACATTGATCTATCTCGGAAACTATAATCATCAATTTCATTTTAATAACAAGTGTAGTGTGAGTGCAAGGAGCGGGCCCGTGCTGGCCTGCATACTTGCGTGACGTCACGCTAGCGTGTGTGTGTGTGTGTGTGAGACCGTTAGCGGAGGTGCGTCTGACCTTCACCCAGTAACACGCGGGCGCCGCGCGCCGGTCGCTGACCGCCACCGCGCCACCGCTCCGGAGTCCGGACTCGATACAGTACACCAGCAAGCAGTACAAGTGTCGCGGCTACACAGAACACAGCTAAAGGCAAATGATAACATGTATGACATAAAACAGTCTATAAGACCATATTTCAATTACCGTTAGATAAGTAATTGTAGAGTCTGTGGGAACCTTTGTGATTATCACAAGACAAGTACCTACTTAATTACATGTAAACATGCAATACTTAATTACTGCATAACTATACGATGTTAGACTATACATATTTTATGACCGTGCCTCCTGTCAGTTAAACACATACAGATGACTAAAGCGCCTTGTGATTATCTCTGTGTTCGTACGTATAAGAAGCACTTTATCGAGCTGGCTACATGCTGTAACTTCAGCCGCTTCTCGGCTCCAGTTAATCGTAGCGTGATATTTTATAACATTCCTCGATAAATGGACTACCTAAATACCTTAAAAAAATAATTAATAATTTCAATCAGTAGTTCTGGAGATAAGCGCGTCCAAACAAGCTCTTCAACTTCATATACCTATTAAAAAGGAGTATATAGATTACATTTGAGTGACGTGTGTACAGACGGGCGCGTGGCGTGGGCCACGGCCGCCACGGCTCGGTCGCGCTCTGGTTGCTCGCACTGTAACGGCAACCGCGACGCATGCGCACTGCGCACCCGCCACCTCGCACTCTACTGTACAGTACTGTGTATAACATGTGCGCAATAATTTTGTCGATAATACGTCGTATATAAGACATCGCGCCTGCATCATGTCTGTGTAGTGTTGGGACGACTTCTGAGGTAGATTAAACGTAGAGAGCGCCCTCGGCAAGCACCTCATATATTTGTTTTTATGCACCGTGCGCCGCCACTCTATCTGCAGTTGGTAGGGTACGCGCGGCCCGCGGCGATCCACTGTATCCTGGCGCCCTCAGCACGTGTCTAGTTTACCTTAGAGATAATATGGCTCTGGACGAATGTTTTACCTCCGCTAGATGACTCTAATATCGTATAAGATCCGATTGGGAAATCAAAGTATGAACATGTCAAGAGTAGAATTTGCAAAGGCTTTAATTTGACAAATATACTCTAAGAATCCCATCTTGTTACTTACTGGTGCTCCTGGAGAGAAGTTCAAGTGTGGTTACCTTCTTTATAAAGTTGTGTTGTTCCCAGTCGAACAATGCGTGGAGGCTTCCTTGCCCACCTAGGTGTTGCAGAGTTGATTAACTTCTAGTTTTTCTAAATATTGGTTCTCAAGTATTACACTCAGTGTCCTGATTTCCTTTCTAATCTCCAGTGGCTCAGTCAGATAGGTAGTTAAGAATTTTAGGAAATTAGAGTTACCTACTTGATAAATGATAAGATACATACTTCAGCTCGTATTAAACGTAGATATAGAACGCAGTAAAATAGAAGTTTGTCAAAACATTATTTAGTAAGTAAAAAATAAGACAAAAACTGTCCAGCTGCCGGCGGCTGTCGGCGGCCATCGCATGAAAGTGCAATTTAGTGTCGGCGCGTGGCGCGGCGCTGTAAAAAATGTGTGTCGCAATATAATATCGCAGAGTGATGAAATGAAAGGGAAGCATCAGTTGTCGCGCGACACAACGACACAGACGCACCAACTGACGACTGATGAAAGTGATCTGTCGCGCACTACTCTCGCACTGCTGCGGCATTGTAATGTTCTGCCGGACAAATATAAGGAGTTCCTATCTATGTACTTCAGAGAGACTAACGTATCGTTTGTAGACACTGTTTTATCACCGTCAGTGACGCAGTGAGCCTTAGGGTGGACACTATTCCACAAGGAGTGTCAGTCGACAATTTGACATATAGTTCTATCTCTTGGAATGAGCAAATAGCTGCACAAAAGGATATTCATTGTTCCGTTTTGATCGAGTAAGATCGAGTTAATTGATTTGTGTAATCAGAGTGGAGTTTCAATAGTTCCTGTGTAGCAAGACTATGGAATTATGCTGTAGACAAGCTCTACAGCATAGTTCCAAATCAAATCAAATGTCGCGGAGAACCTAACGGGTAACCGGGGCTCCGGCTCGACGTCCAGGAGAAGGAACGGGGTGGTATTTAGTGAGTAAGAGTCTGACACTCCCTCCCGCCTTGCCCAGGCGGGAGCAGTAATTCGATGATTTTCCCCCTTAAAAAAAAAAAACAAATCAAATCATTTATTCATTTGCGAACATGGGTACAAAAGTCCATAGTCCTACAAAGTCACTGAGCAGTACTTACTGATGTAACACACTTTGTTGCCCAACCAACGTTAATAACACGCACCTAAAGGAAACATCTAGTTTAAACAAAAATGACCCTTGTACTGATGTCAATAAGAATCAAGATTCACCAATCTGATGGGACAATTATAATTTGAGGTTTCCTCAACTAGTTGCCTAAAGATGACACAAATATCCAAAAGTTAGCGCGAAATTGAGCCTTATGTGTAAGGAGCGAGAGGTGATAGGATGTGGATGATAATGATGTGGTCGCAGTAACCGCGGGTAAGTGCGTGTGACAGTTACTGGCTCCAGGTGTCGCAAGCGCCATCTTTACAGTTACCTGAGTATGTAGGCCCCGTGTCGCCGCCGACTGATTCCACACTACATGCAATAATTCACGTCTGCAAACAGCTTGTAATGATATAGCTGGTAGCCGACAGGTACCAAACGCTGGCTCGGCTGAGAACATTCGCGACGCAAACTTACTTCGGCACTGATCTTCAATGGCGTAACTAAGCTGTATCCTAATGGAGTGTCTTCCCTTGATTTGGAGTCCGCCGTTTATGCATAATAGAACTTTGAATTTGATACAATTTGCCGATATATAAGTCACTACACACTACACTACACAGTCTGAAGAGTTCGAGTGCAGTTTTTTTTTATAGAATAGGAGGCAAACGAGCAGACGGATCACCTAAGCAACACCAGAGAAGTCACAGATGCATTGCATGCAATACGCTCTTCTCTTGTAGGTTTGATGGTCGTATCGGTTCTGAAATTCCGCCAGGTACAGTTTTGTTTGACGATACCACAATATACCTAATACTTATGAGTGTGTGAAGAAGGCGGAACTTACTTCTTTTCCCAAATTACACGAATCAATCTAGCTAACAACTAACAAAGCATTGTTAGCAACAATAGAAACTCCGGTAACTCGGTTGTTGATAAAATTAACTTGACACCGTTACGGAAGACATTGATGACAGAATAATAACAACACACAAATAAGTAATGTTTTACAAATTGCAGCAATTGTCAGACAAGTTTATAGAAATAATAGATTTTGAAGCAATTACTTACAATAGATTGTTTCCTAATTCCAACAACCAACTCGGGTAGCCAAGCAAACATCGAAAGATGTTTCGATGCGCGTTCAAGGAACATGAACTACTTATTTTGGTTCCAACGAAATAAATCGAAAGACATCTTTCGAGACAAAAAGTACAAACATCTGTCTAAACAAGCTCTGGCATGGTATTGGTAATGCAGGTCAGGTAGTCCCCGAGTAGTTAGTACAGGACACCTGTGGCAGTGTTGTGTGTGAGTGTCGGCGCACTGGCCACTGCTGGCCGGTGTACCGCGCGGTATGCGGGTCAGGGTAACGGTGTGTCTGACTCGGTGGCCGGTGGCTCCCTACAGCACGCGCCGACGTGCGCCTCAACTGGAGCGCGGAGTCGCGACCCACTGCCACCCACTGCCACCGCCGGCTTATTTGTAAGACGTTTGGAACAACTCTCTACAGGACTTCATGTCGTTATGTTGTTCTATAAACGTATCAGTCAAAGTGGGATGCGACGTTTGCATGGCCGCTACCGGGGTCGCAAGCTTGATTAGCTAGCGGAGTAGAAATGAAGTGGTTTTAGTCGGTAAGCGTCTGACACTCCGTGCGCACTAGGCGGGCAGGAGTTCCATCCACACTGTTACAAAACACGGTTTCAAGGGCCCTCAATATAGTGATACGGCGGCGCCTACGCTGTTTAATAAAGACTTCAAATAAGTCGTAGAAAACCCTCACTTGGGTATTTTTAATGAATAAATAAACTTTCCCTCATTTAGCATAATAATTGTGTTATTTACATTCATCTTAAGGTGTATAAGTAACGGTGGTTCTGGCCGACCTGTCGCCTGTTGGGACATTCACCCAGCACGCCATCTGGTGGATGATAGTAGAACACTACGCAGAGACTACACTAATGTGTTTTGCGCTTTTCACACCTCTGCTGTTCCGTGTGTCCATGGGCGGCGCCGACTGCTTACCATCAGTGATCCGTCTGCTCGTTTACCGACTTATCCCATAAAAAAGTAAACAGATTGAAGGTGTTTGAAATAAATAAGGCGACATCGACTCTTAGACTTCAGACAGTGGTACCTAGTCATAACATAGCGATGACCGGGCTCAAGCAGATCAGTCACCTATAACCTGTACGGAACACAATGTATGATCTTGATGAATTCAGCTCGTCTGAGTTGTAGTAAGTATGTGCAGCACTTGCGAGGCATCCTGTACGGCCTGTACCTAAAGTTGTAACAACACTGCCTCGCGGTACGTTGCAATTAATGTTTCAATAGAGCATTTATCTATGCGGCCATGCCTTGCAATAACGGTAGTACACTAGGTACACATAGGCTATCTCCTCGACGTAATCGTAACCTCAATCAATAATCAGGTTCGTTTCTATTCCCTTACCAGTAGTGCTTGTACTGAGTGTGTTTACATTATCTCACAAAGTATTAGTAGCAGTACCTACACGCTGGCACAGTGACCCACTAGGACAGTGTCGACACACTTGGAACAATACAACGATAGGTTGACGCGTGAGTGACGCGCTGGTGTCACGGCTGCCGGCTGCCTAATTTGTCCATACGTTACTTCTTGCTTTCATTGTTATACGCTTTTTCTAAATTACAATATTAGTGTGCTAGAGTCAGCGATGGGAACTAGGAATGGCCTGACATACGCGCATACGTCACGGATGGCAGTCGCGGCCCCGTTAGCGCGCGGCGCGTGGCGTGACGTGCGCGCATCAATTACGATAATGTTCACTGCGCGCACGTTTCCCACGACACCTGCGCGCATATACGGCACATTACGTTTTATCATCAATCGACAATTACACAGAATTATGTGTCAAGAAAAACGCAGTCTTCAGTAGACGATGTGGCACTTATACTTCATTAAGTCAGCAGTCAGCACTTAATGCAACCAATCCTTCGAGCGATATGTAGTGTCACCTATATGTAGTATCACAGTGTAGTACTACCACGACCGTATCTCCGCTCCACAGTTGCTGTGCCTGAGTTCCCGGCTAGTGCTGCCGGAGCCGACGCAGTCCCCGACGGAGGCGGCGGAGCCCCGCGAGCGGGACGATGCGCTCGCCGACTCGGAGGAGCCGCCGGAGGGATACTACGCGTTCGTCGAGTCACCCAACGCCACACCGCCACGGTATGTACCACTTGGACAAGTATAGAACATCCGAGGGACAATAATGTTAATATCACACTTTATGTATGAAATATGAATATTATAACAAGTTCCCGCAAGGCGCGGTCGGCCTGTCCTGAATGCAATCTCCATGACTCATCAATAAAGTAGGCGATGCACCGCAGTGTGCCGTGTAGGCCGATGAAACCTGCTGTTGGTACTAACTAGTCTCACCGAATACATACATAGCAGAGTAGGTCCCAAGAGGTACAACAAATGAAGTAGTACAAACATACGTAGGTACGTTTATTACTCTTACGTAAGTAACGGTAAAGTGGTGTTAATATAATGAACATGTATTGGTTCCAGAGTGCGCCCCCCTCCGTACCGGCAGGTGACGTCATCGTGTCCGGAGGTGGAGTCGAACAAACCGCACGTGTCTGCCAACAACCTGTGCGGGGACCTCAACCGCGGCCTCATTCCCAGGAACCCCATGGGGCAGAACCCTAACGGGGAGCCCTACCCTTTGTGAGTTATAGTTCATAACTGATATTTTATACAACGGCGTTTGTTCACAACCCGCTGTGGGGTGTGAGGATGATGTGGCCCACGATGGAGCGTGCCTGCCCATACACGACCTATTCACAGAAGACTTGAAGTCACCCAATTTAAATATTTTTGGAAACACTCTTCTTTCTGATGGTATTTGGGTTTGCCATACAATGGATTGGAGATGTTACTGCTCTTCCCTCGAGGACTGGTTTCAGTTTTAGGACCGTAGTTATGTCGTGTGCTAAGTTAGTACCTATGTGCCGTCTCCAGTGAGCTGCTCCGCAACCACACGCTTCGCTTCCTGTCGCGCACTCTGCCAGTACTGCGCGCGGACGACACGCTGCCCCGCGTGGCCCACCTGCCCAGCAGCCCCGCCGGCCCGGGCCCCGCCCCCGGCGGCCCCGCGGGCCCCGGCTACCCCGCGGGCCCCAGCTACCCCGCGGGCACCAGCTACCCCGCAGGCTCCAGTTACCCCGCCCCTACACACGCGCCTGAAGCTCATGCCGTGCCGGACCTACAGCACAACCGGTAAATATTCGTGATACTACATGTTAACTGTACTTTTTGGATAGCCTTATCTCAAATGATTTTTATAGAATTGGAGATAAACAAGCAGACGGATCAACGCTATCTACGGACACAAACGTACATACAAAGGCGTTCGTAGCGTTATTTAGTTACATTAACTAATCCAAATTAATCCAATGATTCATGCTCAACACATTTACTTGTTGACTTACGGCATCACGTTGCACAAAGGAACGTTGCAAGTCTTGTTACAGTAGCATAAGTAATCTTATTTTATACTATCATAGTATAAAGGTGAAACGTTTGTTTGTTTGTCAGGAACTACTGATCCGATTTGATAAATTACTTTTGTATTCGACAGCCCATTTATTGAGGAAGGCTAATTATATAAAACATCTCGCTACTGTCAATAGGCACCGAGCAATGGTTGAAACCGCGCGGAAGTAGCTAGTAGAGTATAGAGCTACAAAGAATATGATACCGGACTATCTCCGTATGACAATACAAAGTAAGCAATTTGTCGGTACAGGTTGGAGGAGCGCAGCAAGCGGTCGGTGCCCGCGGCGGACGCGGCCGAGCACCGCGCCGCCGACACGGACGCGCCGCGGGACAGTCGCAAGTTCTGCGACAATGGCGGGGTGTGAGTACTCTGTATACACACTACTCTTGTATGACATACGACCAGACTCATCACCTGATCGGTGATTCCTCTAACACCAGCTAGAGGAGTTATGTAACAAGTGCGTGGCTGGCCTTTTGGAAACTGCGGATGGGGAAGATTGTAAGAGTGTAGCCGTTTATCACTCCAGTCGAGCCGGCCCAGCAGTGCCGAACCTGGCTCTCCCGTGTGAATGTATAATATTGCATTTTTATCAACCGACTTCAAAAAAAGGAGGGGTTCTCAATTCGACTGTATTTTTTCATGTTTGTTATGCATTTTCCATTCTAACGTATTCTGGCGACCCATACCTAATGTGTTTAGTAGAATACGTGCATCCGTCGCGGTTTCTTGCCAATTAACAATCAACTTAAACCTGTAATTCAAACATTCCATCAAATGAAACGCAGACGACATGATCAAAATTTATTGAAACTGAATAAATTAACAATACTTATAGTACACTCCATCACTGCGCGAGATTTCACAACATCCACTAAATAAGGCGTATTCCCACGACCGACATACGCTATGGTTACTTGTCCACTAACATGATTTCTCTGCAGCTCGTGTGAATACGCCCTAATATCATATTATTTAATACAACTTTGAATAAAATATACATCATAATAGACCGATTACTTGACGGTAACACTTGGCATAACTATAGTTGTCTCGCTCAGAAGCATGTGTCTGATATAGCGTTCTCTCACTCTAAAGTAACGTGTGATTGGTCGGAGTGCACGAGCTGTGTAAGGCGACTTGCGGTGTATTGTGTAAATTGTGTATAAAAATACATTAACATTATGACATCTCATTCAGTTTACTGGTTACATGCAAACTACATAGCAGTGCCCGGGCGATTAATTCTACACCTTGTGCTGGAGCGATACGTTTGATATTTGTTTCGTCTGCAACGCATTGTATATATATGTAGATATTATAGGCTTCATTGATCTGGGACCATGAGGTAGACTCGTAATCAGTTAACATTGTTTATAAATATGTTTGCTTACTCCTTATAATTCTAAGCGGCCATCGATATAGTGCAGTATGCTACGTGGCGAGATGTCGAATGTCTTCCATGACGGTCTCGTGTACACTGGCGTACGTGCCGTCCAGCAACTTCACGCGGGTGTCCTTCTCTATCTGCAATTACAAACTTATCATAGTAATACGTATGGATGTACTGTGTAAACTCAGATCTAGTTGTATTAGACAAAGTCCGCACGAACCTCGGCTCTATACTTGATGTGCTCGGGCCAGACGCAGAGCTCGAAGTAGCCGGGCACGTCGGGCGGGTCGTACAGGCGGTACAGGCGCCGGCGGAGACACTCCTCGTACTCCAACACGAAGTAGTAACGCAGGTCGCAGAGCTCCATGATGGGGGGGTAGTTCAGTACTGTGAGGCCCTCCAGGACGAGGAACTGTTTGCCCGGCAGAGTGAAGGGCTCGGCGGGCGGGGCGCTGGGCAGGGGGCCCAGAGTGTCGGGGGCCTCGTTGGGGACCCGCGAGGGGTCGACCTTGCGTTCCCCGCGCATTATGGCGTGGATGTCGTCCATCATCCGTTCCATGTCGAGCGCGGAGAGGATGTCGTAGTTGTTGTGTTTGAGCTCGGGGATGTATGTGTGTCGCGGCGAGTCGTCGGGCAGGAAGTACGCGTCCTGGTGCAGCACGGCCAGCGGCCGCGCCGCCGCGCGCAGTCGCGTCGCGAGCGACGTCTTGCCGCCGCACGTCACGCCGCCGATACCTGCGGCACCCACCCACCCCAGTATACTATGGATACTACTTGCGACTCGACGGATTCCTCTCGGGAGGTGATAATACAACAAATTTCCTAAAAAATTAGCACTGTGGTCCAAAAGTGGCTAGTTTCTGAGGTATTCAACATTTTTGGTTTTGGTCAAAAATCCCGAGCTAAGTACAAAAACAAAAAAACTACTGGTTTGATTTAGGTGATTTTAGTTTTAATTTCACTAGTGTTTAGTGTAAAGTCACTACATCAATAAACATTTATTAATACTTATATTATTATTACTTATTATTTTGTTCATATAAATTATATCAAAACGCTCTAATATAAATAAAAATAATAAATAAATTGTAATGTATTGTGACTCTGTAATGCTAGTTTATAGTTTTTTTTTGTTGTATTATAATTATATATTTTCTTGCTGTGCCCGACAGGGTCCTCAATGAACTGTATTATCCTATGTTACCACCTAAGTAAAACATTGTGGAACGCAATAAAGGATTTGAAGAATATTGGCAGAAATTAGTTAATAAATGTTTATCAATAAACATATGTATTGACAACAAATTAAAACTAAAATCACTTAAATCAAACCAGTCGTATTTTTATTTACCTCGTGTGTTCATAAGTTTTGAGACAAATTAAAAGTTGCATATCTTTTTCGGTCCATAGAGAATAATCCAGCGGGTTGAGGTCGGGGCTGGAGGAGGGCCATTCGTTCGCCGCAATGAAGGCCGGCACATTTTCCTTCAGCCAAACTTGGGTGGTTTTAGCCTTATGGGATGGCGCCGAGTCTTGCTGGAAAACCCAATACTTGTTATGGAATAGGGTATTAGACAGGGGTTTCACAACAGTCTCTAGAATGTCACTTTGATAATTTTTGGCTTTCACCTTGACGCCTTGTTGGCAGAAATGAAGCTGAGTGACACCTTCGTACGAAACTCCCCACCATACCATGACACTAGCCGGATGATGAGTACGCGAGACATTCCGTGCTGAAGGTGGGACATCCTTGCTACTTTTGGCATACACTTTATTGTTTTGTCGATTGAACTTTTCTTCGACGGTAAAGATTTTCTCGTCGGTGAAGAGTATCTTCCTCGCATCGTGTCTCCTAAGCAGTATTGGACAACGTTCGCGTCGCAATTGACGAAGGCGATCGTTCAAAAAGTGTACTTTTCTACGTCTATACGCCTTAACCTTGAGATCATATTTCAGTATTCTGTTGACTGAAACGCGCGAAATATTGGTCTGCAGAGCGAGTTTCTTCTGAGTGCGACATGGATTTCGGCGAAGTCGCTCTCGGATGATTTTAATGTTCGCAGGCGTCCTCACAGAGCGTGGACGACCACTTCTTTGCCGATCATGTAAAGAACTTGTCTTCTGGTATCGTTTAATAGTGTAATACACGAAGTTACGGCTCACACCAAAACTTTTCAGTTCTCGGAAAATGTCCATAGGTTTTCTTCCCACCTTAAATAATGAAATGACGGTCGCACGTAATTCTTTTGTTCCCTCCATTACGAGAAAATTTCAATAAAATAATCCGAAATCATAGATATTAAAAGTTAACATTCCAAATTCATAATTAGAAAAAGAAATATACAGCAGCCAGTAATTTTTATTTTATTTTTATAAGCAAAAAGTTTGTCTCAAAACTTATGAACACACGAGGTATTGATGTCTTTGTAGTTAGGTCGGGATTTTTTGACCAAAATTAAAAATGTTGAATATCTCAGAACTAAAGTAGCCACTTTCGGACTAGGAACCTCAGGGCTAAGTGATCGGCGACGGCGACCTCTCGCGTCCGGCTCTGGTTCAGACCATGGTACGGAGCGAGAGGGACTGGGATGCCGCCTCCTCCTTCTGCGAAGCAGTCATGCTAGCTAAGGAGGAGGCGGAGCGCGTGAGGGAATGAACCTCCTCACGACCCGGCCGTCGCGAGACACACTCCGGGCGTCGGGGATCGCGAGACGATCTGCGGCCATAGTAAGCGCGGGCCTGCGGACGGCGAGCATGGGTGACTCGCCGCCCGACCAGAACCAGGCCCGAGCGTACGGCGCCGAGCGTTCCGCGCGCCTCAAGGAGCCATCAGACCACCACAGATGGGGCCTAACAGGGCTGTTGCCGATACGGAGCCGCGGAAGACTTAACGGGTTGCCGGGGCTCCGGCTCGAAGTGCAGGAGTAGGAACGGGGTGGTTTTTAGTCAGTAAGAGTCTGACACTCCCTCCCGCCTCACCCAGGCGGGAGCAGTCATTCGATGATTTTCCCCCCTCAAAAAAAGGGCTAATTTTGTAGTAAATTAGTTGATTTATCACCTCCGTCTCGTTCGCGTTACAAGTCACCCTGAATACATCGCTCGCATGTACTGCTGTAACCCGCAGGGTCGATTTTGAAGTCACATACAGGCTACCGTGCAGGCTAAAGGACTATGGACGATTGAAATCTATCAATCAGTTAGATAGGGACAAACATAAAGATCATACCTATGACGACCCAGTCGTTGCGGTGGAGCGCCATGTCGCGTCGATGTGTGCTAGAGCCGTGTGTGCGTGCGCTAGAGCTGTGTGTGCGTGCACTAGAGCTGTGTGTGTAGGTGGTAGAGCGTGAACAGCATGAGTCCTCCGACCAGCGCCGCGCCGCCCGCGCCGCACGCCACCAGCGCGCGCGCCGGGCCCGGCACCGCGCCGTACAACCACGACTCTGGAACATGGCCGCGCACTCACTACTCGCTCCACGCTGCACTCGCTGGCCCTAGTCACGACTGTAGTTAGACTCACCTTCGTCGATGAATGGGTACGAGTTGATCCACAGACACAGAACTACAAACAAAGCACTGGTTGTCACCAGGACCAGCTTGCCAATCACCGCATCAGGTATGTCCATATATACGCATCACTTTAACATACGAATTTCAATTTTACGCAATGATCAATACAGCATAGATTGGTCTGCTTGATTAGTTTCTTGATTGTGATACGTTTAGCTGCAGAATAGTTCTTTCTCGAAGTCCTCGAAGGTCTCTCCTTCAGGGAAGAGTATGGACTTGTGTTCGTCTTCTTTGACTTCGACGCTGTCTGCGAGCGGCTTGCGGCGGAGGGCGCGCGCTACGATCTGTGACACACGGACACTGGATTACACAACCTGGCCGGGCCCGCCGCTGCTACAGCCATCTTATTAAGATCAGTTAATAGGTTATAGACAAGTATTATTACTGGCACAGTCTTTTAAATATGTCTCCGGCAGACAATGCCGCCGACATTAACTCTACCTGTTAGTAAGTATATTGTATTTGTGCATAGGCATTACATAGACAATGATAAAGAACTTACTTCGCCAATATAAACTGGTTATTGGAAAAATAATTTATTTTATCCATTACAAAATAATACTTTTTTAATGACTTCTTAAACAAAAGCTTCTTGTATTTTAATTTTGTTAGTGCCATTTTGTTTAATGATATATTTCAGTTTATTCATTACAATTTCTGAATGATTATGAGGAAAAACCTAGTGTAACATTCATGGATATACAAGTTGACAATAACATGTGCCACTAGGGAGACAGAGAGATATGACTCGACAAATTGTGAAAGATAAACAAGACAATAAATTAATGAACAAATGTTATGTTATCTAAAGTGTAGTGCAAACAGTACAAATCATAAACAACTCCAATGTCACACTCAGTTAGTGGAAGCACGGCTTTATGTTACATCATTATACTCTGTGCTACACATGGCTTTGGTGCCAACCACTCTAGTCAATGATTTCTTTTCTATTAAATAACTATATTTTAATATTCATAATACACTAATATAAGACTTTGTTGAATATAAATTAGTCACTAAAATGTTACTAAACAAGTATAATAATACAGTAGAGGTTGTTGTCCACCAGCAGGCCGTTGGTACAAACATCTAATTATAGGCACATTCTGATATATAGGACACTAACAACACACACACACACTCACTACTTGTTGGCTTAATACTTCCCACACGTGTACACAGTGACTATCAGTGCGTTGCTATCTAATCAATAGTGATGCATCACTGAGAGCACAGAGTGGTCTGTACAGACTGACTATGTGACTGTTTGTATACATAATACAACCTACATGCTAGGGATGGCGATCTGAGATCGATTAATCAAAGAATCGATCATTTGGAGCAAAAAAAATCTATCTCTTTAAGCAATCCTATGCATTGAATCAATCTCATGAATCAATCTCCGACATTCTACGATCGAGATGCAATTTGAACCTCGATCGAAAGATCAATGAAGAGAAAAAGATTGATTTAAAAATCGATCTTTTCTAATTCTTACTGAAAAAGATCGACTTATAAATTGATCTTTTTCAGTAAGAATTGCCATCCGTACTACATACTACTTCTACTTGCACAGCACTTGACGCTTGGATTGTTGTTAGAGAATGTTCTAGCAAATACTATGCAATGTTCCGGCACTTTGAATAATAAATACCACATGCAAATTGGTATTAAGGATATCAGTTCCTGCCTGTTCAGTGTATACATACCTTGTCGGCCAGGCTAGTGTCGGCGGCGCGCGTCGACAGCTTCAGCAGCTTGTCGATGTTCTCTGCGGACAACTGCTCCTTGGACTTGACAGGCTCCCGCGGCTTCTTACTCTTACTCTTGTACAAATTCCTGTGATCTGCAACACAACCTGTGTCACTCACCCGCACAGCTGAAGTCCAAACAATTATGTCGCGCTATATTATGTAAGAGCGAAACGATGTAAGTAATAAAATGACAATAAAACCGGCGTGTCTAATCGCAGCAATAAGCGCAATAAAGACGTGAGCGTCGACAAGTGCTGTGACGTAATGGCGATACGAATATCAAGAGTAATTCCAACGTTTCTACCAACCTTGACCCCCGTGTCGCGGCCGCGTTTTACGAGAACCGCGCTTCGCCACGCCGCTGTCTACAACAACCAAACAACAACTTCGTAATCAATTCAAACACATTTCTAGCAAAATTTAATATTCAGCGCATTTGCTTTATATTCACCTTCTTGGTCGACGAGTTCCAGAGCCTGTCGCACTAATGCAGAAGACATTTTAGTACAACAATGCGTAGAGAAAACATTTAGGGGCAATTTACACGAAAATACAATTCTAACCTACAAAATATAACTAGTAAACGTCAAGTCAACGTGCCAGATGGTTAAACGTCAACTGTCAACCAGTGAACTAAGCATGCTACGTTAGTCAACGTAAAGTACGTTTCGTTACACTTGTAGCAGTTGGAGATTTATTACGAGGTTATTCAGTAATTTTATATATTTATCATAAAATGTATAAAATCAAAATAAACTTAACATATCCTTAATTTCCTAGGTTCTGTATGCTATACCGAGCGATCAATGGCGATAGCGATTCAAGTGCAGGCGTCGAGCGTCGCGAAGATCCCGGACCACAAGCTCACGGCGCTGGAGCACCTCACGGACCACATCATAGATACGAGGTAAGCAGCAGAGTATACAACTAATATTATTATTGCTAAATTAATTTTTTTTAATCTCCTTCATAGTAACCACATATTTGATCGTAACATGAATAAAGTAAATTCAGTATAGGTATCGTAAGTAACCCAAACTCACGCTCTAATTTTGGTGCTTTTTTGTCACAGGGTCCCCCGACACCTTGCCCAGCTCGCGTGGAGTATGCGACGCCAGTATTCGCGCGGAACTACCAGGGAGTGTGGCGCTACGTGGTGCAGATACCGTACGAGGGATACTTCACGCAAACTGTCGAGGTCACCAGGTATACAGACCACCTCTTGTATGGCACATTTATAAAGGCTACCTTATTCATAAGCGCACCAATCTAGTTCAATACACAGGATTGGTTGCTTAATGCGTCGGCATATAATTTACTCATAAAAAGTGGGCGTTTCATTCTATACATGTATATGTACAACTTAGCCTACCGTCGCCGCCTACCTAATGCTGGCCGTATTATACAGATGCATGCAGTCTCGCTGCCACTACCTGGATGGCGGCTGCCTGAGCTCACCGCGCTGGGTGTCACTACTCGTGGCGGAGCTGCACTATCCACCCGCGCAGAACAAGCAGCAGGTACTACTACTTTTTTTTATTTTCTGAGGAAAGACAGCACTAGAACCACTCGAGGGGTCCCTAGTAGCCCCTGTAAGGGGTATCGAATAATCTGGTAACACCTTTTACGGTACATCCAAAGGGCGGTGTTTCGGCCATTTTGTCCTCTTAAAAAACCAAGGAAAGTAGAAACATTTGCTTTATTTTCTACTTCAATGATATCTTCTGATGTATTATAGTGCGGGATCTGAGATTGAGTAAGGTTTTGTTTTGTGCAGGAGTACGAGCAGTACGGGCAGTACTCGCGCGGCACGGAGACGGACGCGACCGACAAGCCGCAGCACTGCGACGGACACGACGACATGGGATGTTACCAGGTACATCTACATACTCACACACTTAACCATACTTATCGCTATACGATCGCTTCCCACCGCTGCTGTTTCAGTACATCATCAGCATCTGATACTGACCTCACTGGTATGATTGTGTGATTGTAATGACTCTTTCATTACAATGATTAGAATAATTAGTTTTTCACTGAAATAATATTCCTGTCTATAATAAAATACGTTTGTATGGTGTGTAACAGGTGCGGCTGTACTACGACTGGTTCCTGGTCCCCGGCTCGTGCAAGTGTTGGCGGCCGGACTACTTCGCCAGATACGTGCGCCGCCGCCAGAACAGCGAGCTCTGAGCCACACACGCGCCGTCGTAGCTACTGGACAAACACACGCACTGTACATCTCGCTGTAGATATCCACTCGTCAACTAGTTACTTTAACTCATGCTCCGGCAATCACTAATCACACACTACTGTCCCTCTGATCTGATGTTCCGAGAAGTAGAAAACACTGCGCGACTTCAAATCTATTATATTATGCCACATATCTTTCCACGGAGAGACAACCCATGTCAAAACAGAGCTGCATATATTTATGTATGTACGTAATACTGGTGCTACCGCTACTGAATTACTGATCGTTGTGACATTAAGACTGGATCTAAATAATTGTAATATTTGTTAAAATAAGGGCCTTAGTAGGTATGTTCGTACCAAAATATTGTAGATGACGGCGGGAGAGATCTCTATCAACTTAGACTATAAACTGAGTGGTTAGTGCGAGTTGTTCACCGATTCAATCGCGTTAACGTTCACTGTTTCACGTTCCGAGTGCGAGTTTGTTTGACGTTAATGCTGTCGACACGTTTATGACGTTCAGCGCTCTGATTGGTCGGCTCAAAAAGAACCAACCAATCAGAGGGCTAAACGCGGTAACGTGTCGATCGCGTTAACGTAAAATAAACTCGCACTTTCTCTGTATGGCGCGGTAACAGCGTAGTTACCGTCCCATGCTGATTCCATACACATTGCTGTTAAATATAATCGTCAAAATAATTCGCACTACACACTCTATAATGTACTTAGCGAGTAAGACAGGAACACACACACGCACACGAGTTGAGTGACGTGTGCCATGCATTTACTTGTAATATGTTGCTGGACACAAGGTCTTCCTGTAGCAATACTCGGTGTAACTCTAAATACAGGATCTTAGTATTGTAGGGAATGTAAGAAGCTCAAACTGCATTTATATAGCGATAGTATAGTTTCTATGTATTGTATCACACACACACACAACCATGCTTTCTTCTACTCCAAGTGCTGCGGACGGACGGACGGAGCATCGCTCGCATCGTGTGGCTACATGTCAACTTCCGCAGTTCAAGTAGCAAGTTTAAGGAAGCATGGTTCTCCTAGGATATTGTTAATTGTACACTAGGTTGGTTATTTATTAAACGTTTAGATGTAAGTAGTTAGTACATAGTACATACATTATAATAAAGCACTTGAATTACATGTCATATTGCAGTTTCATTACGTAACGTTCGACCGACGATGCAATAAAACAATTGCACAAGTTGAAGGAGTTTATTGTAAATACATATTTATGTAGGAGATACAGGTGACGCAGTGCTAGTGGACAACTACTGCCGCGCGGCGGCGCCACTGTCGCATACCCGCGACACTACCCGACCTTGTACTACTCTCATGATTGGTGCAAATCTCAAGGCACTTAACACAATATCGGCTTTAACATACACTTATGATACAGCTAGGGGAGGGGAGAGCTAGCCTCTGTCGGGGAACCAAACAGAGTTACAAATATACCGCAGGCCGGTACTGGTACTCGCTACATGAGCCTGCAGTTTGAATGTCATCTACGACTAGGAGAAGACAATATCATGAAGAATACAAGTATCTATAGAGCATACTTCCAGACAGGCTACACTGTCGTGATGTATTAAGTAAGTAGGTATATGTAAACACACCGAGGTCTATATCGAGTTACTCGATCTAATTTAATGTAAGGAGATAATTTAAAATGATACCCAACTTCACCCTTGAGCATTATTTCAATTCACTTCATACTAAAACGTAATTTCGTTCTCCATCGAATGTGCCCGTCTAGTCTCTGTCGAGCGTACACTCCGCGCACTGTGTGGTACAAAATATTGTCAGTCTGTCAGTCCGTCCGTCTACACGAGCATCATGCCGTGCGCGGCGGGCGCGGCGGGCGGCAGGCGGCCGTAGTGCGGCGCGGCGCGGGCGCGGGCCTCGGCCGACATTATCTCCACGATGCGCCCGTTCTCGAACACCAGCTCCGAGCGCGCGCAGGCCGAGTAGGGCGGCGGCGCGTCGTCGGGCGGCGCGGCGTCGGGCGGCGCGGGCGCGGGCGCGGGCTTGCTGGGCGGCAGGCGCGACACGGCGGCGTACGGCGGCGGCAGCTCGTCCTCGGCCCAGGCGCGCGCGCGCACGCGCTCCGGCGTCGGCACGTCGCAGTCGTAGTGCTGGACTGCACACACGGACACACGGCTCGCACGGGACGGACAAACATAATCATGAATACGTTACTCAGAATACTCACACGTCGTCGCCATCACATTGGGTGTCGACCACTCATCCGAGTCTTGTCTGATCACTGAAATGGAAGTGCCCACTAAATAAGTACAATTTACAAGTATTTAAGATGCCCATGTTTAAGATCCCCGAAATAATTTGAAACTAATCGAGCTTCAAACCTTTTATGCGAGTAAGCCGTATAGCAGTACTTCAAATAATTGAATATAAGTCTCAGGCCAGTTATTACAATACAGACACACGTACCTCCCCGCAGCCGGTAGTGTCCGCGCATCACCTCCGGCTCGAGCTCCGCCGCGCCCGCGTCTACACAACGAGGACATGTTCAGTACGTAACTAATTCTGTCATACACAACGCATCATGATATGCTACATCAAGCAGGGACACGGTGACTACACAAGCCAACACAAGGTATTTCAGAATGAGGCACATCCTGTGCAATCGGTGCCTTCTTTGTGTACTTAACAGATACTGACTTGTGTGCATGTAGATAGCTCTGAACAGTTTCTTGTGCAGACAGTTCTCGGCCGCCTTGACCAGCAGCACGAGCAGCGCCAGCGCCACCGCGCCGGCCGCCCAGCCCCGCGCCGCGTGACCCCACGACGTGGCGCCGGCGGGGCCCGGCCGCGCGCCCGCCGCGCCCGTCCCGCCCGCCGCGCCCGTCGCGCCCGCCGCCCCCGCCCCGCTCCCCGCCGGCAGCACTATGGACACCGGGTCGTATGGCCGGAAGTTGGGTATACCCTGCAATCAGTGTAGTCGGCGCTTAGCTGTAGATTGTCGCCATCGCCGTTATAATTAATCGCAATACGTGCCTCCAATGAGAGGTCCACAGTTAGGTCACCGGTGCAGCCAGACCACCGGCTGCAGGATGCTTCACTAACTCGTACAATTTTTTTTTTAAATAAACGGGTGCGTTTACAAACATACAAGTTCACATACACATGACACCCAGACCCGGAACAACAATTTGTGGATCACACAAAGAGTTGCTCCGCGGCAGCCATTTGCCCAACTACCGCACCATCCATGCAGTCAAAATGAGTATGCAGTGCTGTTACCTTCATGTTGGAGATCTCCCAGGTGTCGACATCATGGAAGCGGTCCACGCGCCACGTGATGGGAGGCGCGGTGGGAGCCGCCCACTGCCGCGGCAGGAGCAGACCCTTCGGCAGCGGGTCCAGTCTGCGACATATACGTGCTTGTACCAACTGCTACAGAACATGCAGTGCTACGGACTACGGACCAATGCTTCAGTACATTTACAAGTTTATGAAAAAACAAATAATTTCAACATCCACTTCGGAAATTTCGACAGATGAAGTAGCATCTGCTGGTGCTGCTAATTGAGCTGTTACAGTAGGTAACTGATGTTAATGTGCTGAGTTTTGCTCCATTAGAGATGTGATTTTGTGATGATCACTCCTCCCTCCCCTCCCTCCCCCCACCACATTACGGGTGTCACTAATGTAACAATGTTTAGCGGTACCTAATGAAGTGTCGCGTGTCCTTGCGCAGTCCGTAGAAGGCGAACTTGTCGTGTTCCCTGGAGTGCGGGCGCGCATGCTCGGCGGCGGCGCGAGTGCGCGCGCGCCGGTCCAGGGACGACACCCACGCCCACGGAGACACCGTCGGCTGCATCGTGACACTGCGCCATCACACACATATTATAAAGCTATTCATTCATGCCACATTTCATGGAAACTCGGAACAACGTTTCGTTTTCTGTCGGTAACCGCGTCCGCGACTACGCAGTTAAGTAAATGTAATTTTGACATCTGTAAGTATGAGATCAACCCGGAGTTATTGACGTTGAGCAATAAGTACCGGGCACACAGTTCAATGGCGTCTATCGGACTGCAACTGTTGTATTAGTCCGCTCACGTGTCGGCCGGACGGAGTGACACGGTGACACAGACAGACGGAGTGATCAATTGAGACCAATACAGACAATAAAATAGTTTAACTGGACGTAATTATGAACAATGCACGCGTGCTGTCGATGCGCCGGTGCCCGCGACCGTGACATTGATGTCGCTCCGAGGTAACAACATCAACTGGTGACAAACGCGGCTCTGTGACCGACAGGGGCTACACGTACCGAAGGTATGCCGCACTCGCACGCAGGAAGGAGAATCCTGATCTCCTTCTTTCTTTCCGCAACCTCCTTTCACAACATGGCAAGTTCGCAGAGCAACAGAACAGGCAGAAACAAGAGCTTCGTAAAGAACAACTCCGTGTCTTATTGCTTACCATCAGATGATTCAAGTGATTTGTCTGTACGGTTGCTGCCATATTCCTTATAAAAATACTTAATCAGTTGTTTCAAGTACTTTGTATAAGTTTAACAAAACCACGCGGCATTGCAACAAGAATGGCAGTTGGCACATAGCACGTGTACAGTAGTAGGAAGGCAGCGCGATAGAAGACTCAACGCAATAAAGTATTTGGGATCGAGTGATCATCTTCCGCATAGCTGTCGGGTAGCAGTAACATAAGGCAAGACGACTAGTACTGCCCAGGGACTGCACCTAGTCTGGTCGATGTATGTCCATCACAGGTAGGTATACTACATATTGTATATGCTTGTGCAGATATAATTAATGGACGCAAAACCTAACGCTCTCCCTTTAGTTTGCACAGAAATAGGTAACTCTTTTTATATTTACAGATCGTTACCTAGGTATACTTACCATGCCTAATGCAGGCAGGTATGAATCTGGGGAAAGCTATTTATAAGTACATCCGTGTACAGAACACTGATATAGAATAGACAAGAGATAAAACGTTTACATTAGTGTTGCCTACCACAGCACACACAGCCGCGCCCGTAACAACTTGTTCTCAGTATTGGGCGTGTGGTTGCACCGACAGTCCATCAGCACCATGTCAAGGTCACGGAATGAATGCAACATTAATAAGATACAATCTCCACTACTCACCGTAACTTCGGAGTGAGAACCGAGTGCAGTGCTCAGTAGATCGGCAGGAGTCGCAGGCCAGTCACATCGCAGCCACAGCAGGAAGGAAAGCTCTCAAAGTCTCAACACATTGCTCTCTGGGACGCAGTGATGGCGAGCGTGTGGCGGCGCGGAGCACGGCGCCGGTGGACGCGTCGCGCTCGCCCAAGTATTGGCGGATAAATAAACAGCGGCGGAGGGTGTGTCGCGCGCATGCGCGTCAGACACACGCTCACAGCGCTGCCACGCGGCTCCAACTTGCACTACTCGCTACATACAAGAGGAGCACCGCGCCGCCCTTCTCACGCACCTGCTTAATTTGCATAGCAGGGGGCAACCCTTACACTCCACTAAACTAAAATAAAAGATGCGACCGACCAGACTACACGTAAACTTTCTACTTGACCACTTTGTAAACAATAAGAGTGATTGTATGTAACGTGTCCCAGCTCAACATCTAAACATTAAACAACTACTCATTTCAACCTCAGACGTCAGCCGTATACCTGCAAGGTGGCGCTGGATACAGGTCGCTTTCATCCGGCCTGTCTAGACGGCAAGGAGGGGGGCCTATATGAGGCCGTGGACGCATTGCGGCGGAATTGATGACGATGATCAAAAACTTCTGAGAATATAATTGTCTCTACGACTGCGTGTCCGCCACGCAGTACTTGGAGTATCACCGCTGTATATAAACATTACGCAACATCACGCCTTGTATTCCCCACTCGTATAGGCAGAGGGGCAAGTTATGTTGATGTCCAATGATTATTATGTCCGGTCAAGATAAATGTTGCTCAACTTGTAAATAAAAACCTGTGACACGCAATGTCGGCTGTACTGAGTGCATGGCACAGTAAATGTATGTACATACGTGTCTGTAGAGCGTCGCCTGTTGTCGGTCGACTGCTGCTGACCATCATTAGATGACACCTGGTTGCGAACTACGGCCATCGGGGAGCGGGCCACCAGCCACCAGCCACCAGCCACCAGCCACCAGCCACCAGCCACCAGCACGGCTATTTACATCGACAGAATATGTGTGTAATATTTGGGCCGCCTGAATAAACTATGTACTTAAACAATTTGTTTCCAAACTACCCAATGTGACATTGACAACTGCGACCACAGAGCATTATGAACGGAGTTCTATTACTTGCATGCAGCTCCAATATACAAGGGAGGGGATCCCTGACTATATATGAGTGACATGAAATGACCAGGTACTTATGTATTATTGACAAATCCACCAAGGATAGAGCGCAGCTATCAATTGCGGCGTGACGTCATCCCCAAACTGCCGCCTTGAACTCGATACCCGCGCCGACACCACCGCGGCGCCCGGGCCAACGAGTCAGCGAAACTTGGCAACATTTCCATCTGTTACTTACGCTTAATTAAAAAACCAAATCTAAAATAAGTCAAATATACGATAGAAACTTAAATTTAAATAGTAACTAATATTAATGAGACGTAGTGATTGTTTACCCACACACTGATAGAAGTCTTGTAGGACTCGTAGCACGGCTCGTAGGACCAAAATTTTGTAGTGAGAAATAGCTTTCGTAGCCAGTGTAGCTTACTACATTGGCTACCGGCGTAGCAAACGTAGCAGAGCACGTCTGCTACGTTTGCTACGCCAGCTACGAGCTACGAGACCTACGCTACGAGTTCGACCCCTCCTCATAAATGCGAAAGTTCGTGAATACGTGGATGGATATTTGGATGTTCCTTTTGCACGCAAAAGTGATGAACAGATTTAGATAAAATATTTTTTTATAGTCGGAAATGACAGAAAGGAGCCATATTAACTTTAATATAGGGGAAGGTGCTTGCGAAAGCTATAGTAAATAATACAGTTTAGGCAAATAGGTACGACTTCCCAACTGGTGTGGCAGCGAGCCTACCGGTCGCCAGTGAATGGTCCCAGTCTCAGTGTCACGCACAGGCGTCCTCTCTCGAGCACCTCGGGTTGTTCGACAGTATTGGAATTATATCTCACGGTTGTAATGTCATTTATTTTTTATTTGTACCGAAACAAAAGTAAATGTATTGCAGTAGTAGTAATGGCTAATAATGTGTATGTAGTGAGGCCACTTTGTGTGTGTGTGTGTGTGATAGAGGAGTATAGGATCGATGCGCGCCGCCACTCCGGCGCCACCCGGCCGCCCGCGACACACAGACCGCGCGACACAACAACACTGCTTGTACCGTGGTCACTGTTACAATGTTCTACAGAACTCGTGCTCTGTGTACGTTGCGATAACCGTCACGGGTTATGAACATAATGTAGTTGATATTATGATAGGGCAAAAAGACCGCTTTGAAGTGCTCAAAGTCATAGTAGCCTCAACATAATTTCTTTTTCCAAGATCTATGATAACGCCTGTTACAGCACCAATTAATTAAAGTGAGTTCAATAGTTTAGCCGTAAAACCGTAACAGACAGTTATGCTAGCGCGCGGAGTGCGCTGTGTGTCGCGGTGTTGTCGGTCGGAGGCTGCGCTCGCTGGCGCCTCACTCTCTCCGCGGCGAGAGTGACGGTCGCATCGCCAGAACACTACACCCTGTACCTACTGATACACAGTGACAGTCTGACAGTCTGCCAGTCCGCCGAGGCGCAGTGTCACACAATATGAGACACGTCGCCGGCTGCAGCTCCCAGTAGCGGCCGGAGTC